GATGTCTCTATATATACAAATAAAAAAGTATCAGTATTTCTGTGCGATATATGTATAGACAAATATTGAATTAGATCTAAAAATAATAATAACTCCACACTGTAAGATTTCCCAAAAATTACAATTGGAACCGAAATTGATATAATTAGGAATTAAATAAATAGATTTAATTACAATTACAAAAATAATCATTATTTAAAAATAAACTTTAAAAACTGTAATTCATCATTACAAAAACAATGGATGGTGAACATATATGCATACAGTGTTTATAAGACGGTAGCTAGTATTGCATTAGGTGCCCCAGGAGTGGAGCGGAGAGTCGCAGCATTCTCGCGCCTCCCCACGGGACGCATTACGAAAGTACTAGACACCAAGATCGATACCTAAAGTTACAACATTACAACGCTGTTCCACCACAAATAACAGTTCGTTGTTTCTACTCACCATTTGGTGGTCCATTATTTGAGCTGTTGTATTTAGCACCTAATCACCAGCCACCTATTAACGTTTTAAACAAAGTCTGCAATGCAATAATCTCTTGTTTCGTATTGTAGATCGAAGCTTCTCTTGAGTACTATTCATTATATTTTTTAAGCAATGACGTTGATAATCAAGCATACGGTCCGCTTGATTGTAAAGGATATTACTTTAGTGTAAGAGCACCTCATAACCATAGTTGTTAATTCATGTGCATATTAGGTACCAATTCAAAAGAAACCTTTCAATCATCTGAAGCTGGAAGAGGTGCTATAATATACCTAAAATGCCTCAACATTAACATAACCGAATGGTAATGATAAAGTTTATATAAGTAATTGCAAAAATTACTAAAAGTCTAAGAAAAGAAGAAACCGCTTGTTACCAGGCAAGATGTATGTTTGTATTTTTGTGGAATGTTTCTTTGCTATGCTTATACTGATTTACTTATTTGAGTTTTATTTACAATTAAATATATTCGACCGCATTAAATTAGTTAGCACAAAATATTTACTTTAGATATATTTTTACTATATGTACAGAGTAGATCCGGTTTAGCGAGAGCTAGTATGTAAAATTCTGCAACAGTAGCTCATCCATCAGGACTATGTTATAAGCAGGTATTAACTGAGCAGAAGAGAGAAACGTGATTATGGGATGCAGGTGATTCTGTGGCAGAATCCCAAACGCTGCGGGGATGTGACCACTGATAAAACGCTGATATTAGGGCGCGATGCCGGCGGCAAGCGACGCAACGCGACGGTGAGCGGTGGCGCGGTATGCGGTTGTTGTGTCGCAGAACGTCCATCACTCGCCGTCCAGCCGTACTCCTCTCGCAGACATAATGCTATTAATTTTTAGTTTAATTCAGTCCCTCTACATTACATACCATGAAAGCTTATAGTAAACAACTTGCTTGTTTTTACAGTACAGTGACATCAGAACCAGTAGATTTTATCGGTCTAAAAAAGCATTAATTATTCATATTCATCTATTGTTACTAATATTATAAAGCTTGTCTATATTACCTTTTCATTGCTAAACGAAATTTAATACATATTTTATAATTTAATATTGTAACATGGGCTATCTATATATGTATGTACTAACTCTTATATTTTTCTGTATTAGTGTCGTGCCTAACAAAACTAAACAAGTTTTTTTTTATCATAGGAGGACAAGTCTGCGCTGCACCTGATGATAAGTGATTATTACCGCGCATAGGCACCAGTTGACTTACTGGCCTCGGAGGAATAAGCTCTGTTCTTGAACTTTGTAATATACCGTTCACTCGTATAATGCATCGCTTCAGAAATATCATAGCTGAAAGGTGATTCCGCGATGTCGTTGTGATTGACAAAAAAAGCTTCTGGAAAAATGTTCATGATAACGATAGTATTTTAATTTCTGGCGAGTTGTATGAAAATGGAATGCTTCTTCTTTCGTTTCAATGGCAGCTTAATATTTATAGTTGTCATTGTGGTGAGAGGATTGGCCAGCCTAGACACTGCGTTACCGTATCTAACTGTTTCCAGGTGTAGTAGCTGTATATGCGGGTATATCAGTTTTCTTTTTTTTTAAAAAAACAATACAATTTACAAATGACGCATCTTTTACTCGAGTTATAACTATGTAGGTACAGAGTAAAATAAATATGTAAAATTAATTACTTTAAAGACGTTGATCACAAATTATCGTACAATGACAATGGCAACTATTACTGTGGTGCTCCCGCCCGGAGATAAGAACATTATTTAATATGCGGCCTGATTTGTGCTTTGGATAATTGCAAGTAATGGACCGCCGTGAATTACCGTCACACTCTACATAGCGCACCTAATGTTTAAAACCTAGCTTTAGTACTTTTACATTTACATATGCTAAAATAATGTAAATTAATCTCTTTATGTCTATTATGTGAAGTAGGTATATTTTTTCCGTAAAAAATTTCATGAACGTATAACTTAAATACCTCGTGGTAATCTAATGTATGACTAAAGTAAACCAAAATAGATATTTTCGTTCTTCAAGTAGCTTATTAGTTTGAGGTGTGTAAGACGTACCATAATCTGTGATCGCCGTAATCGGCGTGCGTTACCGTTGAGTCCTAAGAGAGATAGATTATATAGAGAGATAGAATATATAGAGTATCTAAGAGGATATTAATCCTCTTAGATAGCAAGCGATCAGAAAACGGAACATAATTGCTATTTTAAAATTGACAGCCCCGCCATAAAAACTTTCTTCTCAGATTTGTAAGGCACGAAACCTTATTAAAATTTTTCTGTAATAAAAATCCCGAATGTGAAACTACAACTGTTATAAATATACCCAATTTCAGCCATTTAGTATAAGTAGCCATAAAACAATTACCGCTAGCACTGGCGATCCAGTAGTGTAGGATGAATTGATGTTAGATTAGAATTCACCATGAATTAACCACGTTGGTTTACAGGGAGAACCCCGTGAAGGTCAATCTGACATGGTACACTACTAGCAATGATGCTAATAGTCGTTTTTACTAACAAACAAATTCTTCCTTATATATTTTTTGTCATCAATCTAGTCCAAATATTTAATAGGACAAGTTATTATTTCTTTTACCAATATAATATGAAATGATATCAACCATTTTACAAAACATAAGTTGTTCTCATTACTGCTGTACTTTTATATGTTGCCTAATATGAATAGATTTTAAAAACAATTCTTTGATTTAAATTTAAAATTATATTTTTTTTTTGTCATAAATAATATGTTACTAATTAGATATATATGTTACTGTTTAGATGCATATAGAACAACATATTGACTTCACAAAGTTCTGTCTGTCGTCATAGAACTAATAGTTCTAAAATAGCAATACTTACGTTTAAGTGATCTTGGTTTCGCTTGTTTTCTTCGTGACATCCTTATAAGTGCATTAATTAAGTAAACATTTAAGAAACAGTTACACTACACGTTCGAATCACATGTCGAATGGCTTGTTAACAGACGCTTAACGTTTACTGTACTTTTTTAGAAGTAAGGAAAGTTTATCGGAAAAGTAAGAATACAAACGTAAGAGAAAGTAGCGCGGAAGACAGGGCCAGACGCGCGGCTCACCCCGCGCTTACTGAGCTTACTGGCGCCCAACAAGTGGTAATAACAATATTGTATCCGACGCGCAAACTCATAAGTACACGAACAAGTCTAAACTATAAAATTGGAGATACGATGACAGATTATGATATTAAAAACATTAGAATTAAACAATAGGTAAATGTTTTTAGTGTTTTTAGTAGGTATCTACTCATACACTGTAGTCTCTTTCAAAGTTATTATGTATCAATAAGAGCTAAGTTTCTTGTCAGTTCTTCTTAGCTCAAAAACTAAGAGTCTGTACATACATGTATAAAAATATTTTGATTTCATTTCATTGATTTGGTACAAAACTACAATACATATATGTATAGGTAGATATTATCTATGTACTGTATTCTGTAAATCAATCAAACTATAATAAATAATGTTTGACACCATCATTGATTATAATATTACATAATAGAATACTTGTTTGATCAAGAAAAACCTTGAAAGTCGCTATAAATAATATTTTTTATAGAAATAGTAGATACCTACGTAATTCGATTAAAGCGAGTAGAGTACGTACCTCTGTAATATATCCAATTAATTATTTATTTCTTCCAATTTTATACAACTGTATAAAATCAAAGAAACTTTGTTAATTCTTATCCATTAAATTAAGAAACTACCTATAATACAGGGAAATTATAAAGCAATAACAGGCGATCCTGAAGGCCCTATGATGTGAATAGAGAAACTAAACAAAACGTTTCCGGAATATCTATTCACTTAGAATACTTCGATAATGGAATCGCTCAAATTCCAATCCATTGCCAAACATGATTTGCGTAATTCAGCATTTATCTCATGGGTCGCATTATTTCTTTTATAGGTTGTAGTTAGCAAATTTACAACGTCCGGTCGATCAAGATATGTGACTTCATTATTTCATTGGTGCTTGTCCTAAGCAATCTATACAGTTCACGCAGGCGGGAGCACGATTCAATCATCATTCATACCAATTTCTGATGCCTATAACAACAGATCCGAACTTATCTGTTGGGATACCTGTGTCAATAAAAAAGTTATTAAACGTCCCATAATTACGGAGCAACCTAATGAACCCTACCTTTGGCAAGAAAATGTTCCACATCTAGATCGGGTACCAACATACCATATTCATAATTTTATTACAGTGCTGAATGTCTTTGAACGTTTCCTCAATTTCTTTCATACTAAATTCTAATTTAAAAGAAAGTTATGTATCTACAATAGTTATTATCTTTCTTGTTGTTTGTAGTACTGAGTAAATAACCACTACGCTACTTTATTGTATTGTATAGCACGCTGTACGATACGACCTCAGTGCGTGAATTGTCATTGTTATATGTCAATGTCAATGTCATATGGCAGTATCAAGATCAAATCAGATATACTGAAAATTTTATGCAGGAAAAAGGACTAAATATAGTGAATTACCATTATGCTTTAATTTACTCAATTTATTACTATTTGTAATTGATACTAGCAAAAATTAAACACAGATGGATCTGCCATACGAGGTAAGTTAGATAAGTACATAATATATTGATTTGAAATATAAGAAATTATTCTATGTGCTACACTATAAATAATATTTTTCACGTGATTGATCGATTAGATGTTTTCCTTTGTTGTTATATTAGATACTACAAATGTTGATAAAGTTAGCATATTAGTTAGTAGAGTAAAATGTAATTAAATACTTACCTTTAATAGTAAAATTAATACTTGGATGGTAAACTGAGATGTACGTATTCTATATTTTCAGATATTAGTTTATTTATTCAAATATTTACCTAAATCTGACAGAATATCGGCAAGTGAAACATGCCGATCTTGGTATCTGGCTGCTAATGACCATTGTTTCATGAAGAACAAAGTAGCAATATTTTACAAATCGGTGTTAAGTGATGAAGACACATCACCTATGCATATTTTTGAAAATTCGTTAGTCATACACCAAAACTACATGTTCAATGAAGTAGAGATATCTAACAAACTGAATGTTTTTTGGGATAAAATAGGGGAGAATATAAAATCACTCACTCTGAGAAATTGTGATATCTGTGAAAAAGTATTTGTGTACCTCCTCCAAAAATGTACTAGTTTAGAGGAATTGAACATTCAGAGCTGCAGAGAGCTGTTCATGTCAGGACGTCTACTAGAAGGAAAAACTGAAGGACTACTAGAAGATAACCTGGACAATTTAAAAATTCTAAGCTTATCAGGAAATCAGTATCTTACAGATGCATTATTCAACAGATTTATAATGGCTACTCCAGCTTTAGAAAAACTAAACTTATCAGCATGTTCTTTGCAGTTTCACCTTGGTCTGGTTAAAAAGTTTTATCCCCCTGGCACAGATATTTTTAAAAATCCATCAGAAAGTGTGCTGACATTTTATTTTATTTTACAATTCATTATATCACGTGCAGAAAACATTAAATGTTTGTTATTTTCCAACACTCTTATAGATGGAGCAGCTCTTAAGTTACTTGCAGAGGTTAAAAATTTAAAACTGGAGTCACTGGAAGTGCATAGTTGCGATCAACTTACAAACACAGGCATTTTGGCATTAACAAACTACCAGACTACTTTAAGAGAGCTTGACATAGGTTTATGTAGTAGAGTAACTGATCAATCACTTATATATATATGTAAAAATCTGGTAAATCTAGAACATCTTAACATTCAACGTTGTCGTGCTGTGACTGACCTAGGTATAGCAGAATTGAAAAAGTTAAAAAAATTGAGATCTCTTAATATCTCCCAGTGTGAACTTATTACAAAAGATGGTTTAGAAAAAGGTTTATGTTCAGAAGAAAATCAAATCATTGAAGATTTGAATATACATTCATTAAATTTAGATCAGACTGCACTGATAATGATTTCAGAAAAGTTGCCTAATTTACGTGCCTTAGACATAAGTTATTGTTTTAATGCAGTAAGTGACACATCAATTCAGGTCATATTTAAAAACCAAGTACTTTTGCACACATTAAAAATAAGTCACTGTGACAAAGTATCTGATGCGGGCCTAACAGGAATGGGAAAAGTGGAAGCAGAAGGTGATGATGAAGGGCCAATCATGTCCAGTTATGATGATCCATCCTCTAACCACAAAATACCCCTTGGGTCTAGAGCTGAAGAAGAGATTGTAAGAGACGCGAAACGAAAGCGTGATGTTATGTTAATGTGTACAAAGCTAACAATGGATAATTTTACTGGCTATTCTTTGGCACGCATGAAAGGCCTCAAAGAACTTGATGTAAGTGGATGTAATAGGATCACGGATGTAAGTTTAACTTATGCATTTAATTTCAAAGAATTGGTAAACTTAAATTTGAGCAGATGCCAACAGATAACTCATGAAGGAATAGAACATCTAGTGAAGAACTGTCCAAGCATTGAATATTTCAATCTAACAGATTGCTATAACTTGAAAGATGAAGCAGTAAAAGAAATTGTCAAGACTCTTAGAAGACTAAAACAACTTGAACTACGGGTAAGTATATATTAAACACCAATAGTAGTTTTTAAGATAATGACTTCAAAATATTTGATGTATAATAATATTATAAAAATTGTTTAATATCCTTTAAACAAATTTATGAATTCCATATCTGTATGTGGGTATTTCACTGTAAATTAGGCAACCTCGTCCTATAAGAACTGTTGCAACTTTTTTGTTATACATCTAATAAAACTTCTTTGGGGAATAAATATTTGTCTATTTATTAAAATATGGCAGATGAACCAAAAATATTCCCATTGGTTTAGAAAATTTTGAGCATTTTCTAAAAATTCTATACAGGGGTTTGTGAACTTAAATTCCATATACATATATACAGGCATCATAGTTAGTGTATGTTATAAAGGTTATTATTACGAATACCATATTCTAAATTATCATGTTATTCTTCTTTCTATTGATCCTCTCTCTTTCCTTTCCTGGGCCGCACGCCTCCGACTTTAATTCTAAAACTAACAATTTCGTTACATACTTTGCTATTATAACGGGGCTGATGACAGCTAATGTTAGGACTGTGTCTTTTGTTGTTATTGTATTATTATATAACAACTTTGAACCCATGTTCCTTGAAAAAAATATACGGTTAAAATAAGTTGTAGAACTAAAGTAGTTTGTTACCATGTGGCTTAGCTTGCGGCTTAGCTTACCCTTATGAATAACCTTGGATATTATGTTATTATGTATGTATGTTTAGCACATTTTTAATAGTTTGACTAATCCAATATAGTTATATCCATCTATAGTAAGTATTACAAGAATAACATAATAAGCAGTATTATTTTTTCCAGGGTTGCAATCAACTAACTGACAAAACATTAGAAGCCATAAGATCTCATTGCGAGAAACTAAAATTCTTGGACGTGCAGGGTTGCCGCTATATTTCCCCAGAATTAGCGTGCGCAATTGGATCCTTACCCACACTTCACACTGTTCTAATGTCTAAACCCGGCCCATATATTACAGATGGCGTCAAAAACAGATCTCCCGCACCAACATTTCTGCCAGCTTTAATGAGGAAGTTTCGTCTTCATTAAATCAAATCACACATAATTAATTTCACAGTCACTACACTAATAGTTATTAATATTTTTTGTATTTATTATATTTATATACTGAAGGTGATAAAAAGTTAAACAATAACAACCAGCTACTCAATAAAATATTTAAATTGTTCACGATCAATTAGTAATTACAAACAGTAGTATTGCATAAATTTTATTTTATTATTAACTTGAGATTAGTACAAGTTAGTCAATAGGGACATTATCTAGTCAAGGTGAAAAAATTGCTGTTATTACATACATGAGCAATATCTACTTATATTTATACATTAAAATTTTAGTTCATACTTTCTCTTACAATTAAACTAGAAATAACTACAGTGCTCTTATAAAGTCAGTTTGTATTGAATAAATATATCACTCGATTATCATGTAACTCATTGAGTGCAATTTAAATATCATTAAATATTATAAGAAAATTATCAAGAACAAGAACAAGTGTATTCCACTTACACTAAGTATTTTAAATAATGTCAAAAGTTGCAATAACAAACTTTCCTAATGTATTGTATATAGTATCTATCTACTCATTTCATTCGACGTTTTGACTGTGACTAACTATTTGTTAATGATAAGGCAAGAAATACATAACGGAAAGAGAAAATTGGCGGTGATGGATATCATGAAACTTATTTTAAAAAAATCACCTTCATCAAGTCGTGCATAGTGTTTCAGTAATGAAACATACGGGAGAGCTTATTTTGAATGATTTTTTATCAGTCGAGAGCACAATGTATGAACGGAACTATGTTTGATATACTTAATTTAGGTATATATTATTGCTTGTGTATATTCCTGCTTACCAACACAAAAAAACCGCTTTCAACGAATCATAATACTATTTATTTTAACTCAATGAAATAGTACCAGTCTTTTAATACGGTGCCGTTAGTACGATAAGCTTAGTAAATTCTGGGTATATAAAATAAATCGTATAGGTAATCATATCAAGCTGCTATTTAATACTGCTGCTGTTCAATAATAGTTATCTTTCGAAGTAAAAACGGATATCGATTCTCAACTGTTTTTATCACCGTTTGCGACGTCACTAAAATGTTTTATCGAAAAAGAAAATGTATTTTGTAAATGTAATACATCGCAAAATTTTCCACTTTGATTGTTTCATACCATTAAACATCTAATCATAATCAGTAGATCATGTATGTAAAACAGAAACAATAAAAACTTTTCCACCAAAACTGGTAAACATAAGGCTAATACGTAAGTAGCTACATTTAATTATAAAAGAAGAAACGAGAAGTAAAGAGAACTCATAATAATTCACTTTGAACTCATAATAATTAACTCAAATGAACATACATACATAAACGAATTGAGTATTTTTTCTACAAAGTGCTTGTTTTATATATTTGATGATGTAATATTTATTTAGTATAAAGAATGAAGTTATAGGTCGATTTCTGATACTGTTAATATAATTATATATATCTGTTATTTATAATTAAATGTATTTTAGATTTACGATAATCAAGACGTAATGTAATTTCTGTTTGCTATTTTCTGTGCAATTATATTCTATTTTCCTAAAAGGAAGTTGTAGTACAGCTGTGATAACGTTTGTACCTAATATGCTATATAATAGTACAAATTCGTGCATTAAAATGATTTTAACCTGTCGATTCTCTTTTATTGTTATTTCATTTTCTTATAGCTGTCAGAGACCCGCATATTTGTCACCTTTTTGGATGTGGAATAAGTCGGAGATGTCGTGACTTCTCCGACTTGCGCCTAAAAGGTAATGAGTTCAAATCTTGCCACCACCAAAACAAACTCGAACTCAAATTTGGATTGACAACTTGTGTTGTCAATCCAAATTTGACTGGATCAAGTCCCATTTTTTACTACTTAGTGTCGGCTTGTTTGCCATTCCTATGTAAACATTTTCGTGACTAGTTAAATATATAATATTATCTTATCTGTAGTTAAAACACGATTACAATTCACTCTCTCACACTCAATATGTATAATACATGGTATAGAACATGCCGAGAAATCCAAAGATTTCTTATGCATCCGTGCGAAACCGGGACGAGTCGTTAGTAAATAAAAAAAAACTTGTTTTATTATATTTATTATTAAAATAACTTACAATCAGTAAATATTAATAGGTATTTTCTTTTATCTTACATAGGTACTTACTACTATGCCTTACAACTAAAAAAACAACTTTGTTCTAGATGATAATCAGATGATATTATACAATGGGCTACATTTTTAAAACGCAAGAAATTACATATTGTAAGTTTCATATAGAATGTACTAAAACTGAAACTATGGCATACTATCTGAGCCCTGCACTAGGCATTAATGATATTGTATTTTACAAATAGCAGCATCATGTATAAGGGAAGGGTCAGTTATTGTTATTACTAGTCATTCGTTTACAATGTTTTCTTTCTATATTAGAATTTTTTTCTGTTATACCGTTCCACTTGCTATCCTAACTATAATACCTATTACATGACCAATCTCTTTTTGATTTAAAGGCTATACCAATATGAAACACGATTTATTGAATAATAGGCTAAAAATTATTAACATATTTCAACTTTATTCCTCGGAGAGTCGTACTGAGGGTAGTAGTAGTGGGAATAGAGGAATATGGAAATCCAGCGCATACATTATAAATGATGTTATTAACCTTTTACGTGTGAAAGGATTGTACAGAATTTTATGAGAAGGTAGAATGTAGTAGTAGTTTCGAGAATGTATATAGGCGATGTAGGCCCGGACTTATTAGTATTTTTTTAATATTTTTGTAGTTTAATATTTTATATAACAGCTTTGAAGTGAATGCCGTTACGAATCTACAAGTATAAAAATATGGTACCTAGTAGTAGTACAGTGTAGTACACCATTCCCCTAATGTTTAATTTTTAACGTATGTTAATAGTAGTCCACGGTTGTAAGCAAGGTTGTTTTAATATAAAAAATGTTTCCTAAGAAAATGACCAACCACGACACTACGTTGTACAATATATCAAGCAGACTACAGATAGTACCAAATTAATTAATGCACGTTGACCAATTTCCTCACGATCCAAAACTGCTAAGATGTTTCAGAAAGTCATGTTATGTTTTTTTGTTTATGGGACATGTTCATTCTATCAGCTGACATATAATACACAACACTACGGCCAGCTGGCAATTTTTTTTATCTTCAATATATAGGTTTAACTATAATTTGTTAGCAATTTGAACTGGGAGGAAATTACTGAATTTGTTTTATATGCTCGCGAGGGTGCTGCTCTTCAATCTACCCTAGGAAACGCAGCTGACTTTTACTAAGATTCATAACACAATTTTCTTAAACATTTTAGAGGTTTTCAACCGGAAGGAAATAAGTGACAAAAAGAAGGCTCTGGATCGCGGACTATTATATTAAAGTATATCTTATATTAAGGTACATCTTACAGCTACAATGTTACAAGTAATAACCAGATAATGAAAATACACATGCTGCTCTAGTTTCACTTTTCATTTACAGTAATATACATATAATAATCACAGATATATCGCTTCAATACCACATATTTTCTATACCAATAATTTAATAGAGATATAAACGTCTGTCATAGACAATTGAATCAATGGCTCAGCTCTTACCACTATAAAACAGCTCGTGTATTGACATTGGCGCCATTTCTAAACAGAATATAAATATAACAAATTTATATTTAACTTAAGGTACGATTAAAAACATTTGCTATGCACTCCGCAAAAAAAAAGGACGAGCATAAAAACACGTTGTGCAATTAAAGATGACATAATGAATCGTGACATGAAATATATTGTTCATTACAATATATTAATATAAATAATATAAATGCGATTGTAATTGACACGGATAATCTACATGGCAGAATTGAATAAAATTTGGAGCAGAGATCCTACGATGGAAACAAATGTTATGGTGACTATCGTATATACATTTAAGTATTATTTACAGAGTAAATAATTATAAACAACGTAGATGTCTACATTAATCAATATACGAGTATGTCTATAAATAAAGTAGGCGGAGACTGGCAAAGTATTACGCACATGTTACTTCTGTTTTACATAAAATAATTCATAATTTTGCAAGATAATGTATCATAATTAGTATTGACTAGGGCAATCACTGTCTTTAGTTATATAAAAAAAAATCTCCCCCTTCAAACGAACTCCTAATGGTGACCTCAGAGTAAAGTTGTATTGAAAAGGCAAGAGTTGGCCTTTAATTTGTTTGGGAGTGTCCTCTGCAACCGGACCCATTTAGATCTGGAAAAACTGTAAAGGGCAACTGCCGAAGCTGGCCTTTACAGCTTTAGCAACAGCAATAGAATACTTTAAGAATCATATGCTCAGTATAATATGATCAGGCAGATCATATGTACTCTACTGAACAAATCATTTTAACGAATGAACAAAACTATTTCAAACGAAATATTTCTTAAATATGTCTATTACAAATGACACGAAAATATCTGCACTATATTATAACTATTTTGTTTTTAAAATGTACCACAAAGACTATGAAGATATTTAATAATATCATTTTCAATTGCACAAAGTAAAGATACATTAAATGTATTTAGTAAATAAAATTAATTTGGTATAATTTATCAGTTTGCAATTAAATAAGTTTTATATTCATTCGAGCAAAACATACAAAAATGAAGGAATATGTTACTTACTATCATGTAATATAAATTAATTATTAATTGAACGTGCGCGTGTAAAAGTAAATGTAAATTGGACTTATTCGCATTTAGCCTTTCGTTTGGCCTAATCGTACGCATACGTATTAATTATTTATTATTCATTTTCAAAACCAATTCATTTTTTTTTCATAACTGTTATTATATGACAACACATTATTTTCAGTTTTTATAAAATTCTTTAGATCAGCAAGAGATCTTCATATCAGTATGTCTCGACGAACGTAGCAAGATTTCAATGTTCTTATTAGATTTTTTTTTTATTGAAAAGTCAATTTTTAATTACAATATAATTAAAAATAAAGTAATAAATTCTGAAACTGTACAAAATAATGACAAATAGTTAGAGTAATACATACCCTAGATAATACAATCTAATTACAAACTCTTTTTAAAATGTATAACTCTTTATAATACAAACAATAGTTCACTTGTTGATTTTGCGTTTCGCCCGGCGACGTCCACTTTTCGGTGTTTCTCATGGCCTCAATCGCCAATTAGCCGGAGACCGAATCTCAACTTGTGGTGTATTCAGTGTAGAGCTGCACGGAGTGGGCGACACACAGGTATCTTCAGTATTTTCAACATCCAAATCTGACATGTTTATATCATCAAAGTTTGGAACATTTCCTGTATATGATATAAGCTGATTCTCTTCAACTGAAAGCCACCCAAGAAAAATTTTGTTAAAAACAAAAAATCAATAATAAAATGCATCTTGTGTCTATGAATCTACATATTTCTATTTATAAAAAATACTTAATTAAATTACATGTTACAGTATTCAAAATTAATTATAAAATTAAAACTTGACATTATGAATTAGGAAACTTATTATAAACAGCCAAAACAAAAATTATTAGCATGGCGAAAACTACATACAATCAGATTCAGATTATTGAATAATTTATCTCTGATTAAGCACAGTAATGTTACAAAAATGATCAGGCTGCATTGTAATATAACATGAATATATTAAATAACATATATAAATATCATCATAATAATATAAATATACGATAAAATATATACATATGAAAAATAGGTATCGGGGAATATTCTATAAAAACTATGTATACATTAATTACACTATCTATAAAAAGTACAGTATCCTTTGGTACACTGCACTATCATATACATAGATATATATACAATAAGTAGGTGATAACTTTTGTACTAAGTAGTGCATTATAGAAGTGTGACCTTAATTATAAATAATACAAAGTAAGAAGAAAATAAGATATGATTGTTACAAGCTGCCGCAAATATTTAAAACAAATTGCAATTATATCCTACCACTACTTCAATTAAGATCACAATTATAAAATAAAACAAGTACCTAAAACTATACTGATATTAATTAAACTAATACATAATTAAATATAAACACATACAATAAACTGGCAATTACACATTGTAAGCAATAAAAACGTCGTGACGGAATCCACGGTAGAAGCTCTAAAAGAATAAATATTCTGATCAACCGGCTGGATGGCGATAAAACAATGCATCATGACTTAAAGCATATTACTTTAATTTTATTAACCCTTATTACTTAACTATTATAATAACCAAGCTAAAAATAGTTTTAGTCTTAAATATACAAAAATTTAACCAGAGTTATGATGCCACATTACAGGAGTTTGAACAATAATACCACTTTACTGGTAACATTTGGTTTACCTTTGCTAGCATATTGTTGTACTTAGTCAAACATACTACACTAATATGATTAAAAATTATGCAAAGTAGTACTATGAAATACTAGTCCCATTTAGTCTGTATCCATTAATCACATGCAGTAGTACGAACGAAAAGCTTTATCTAAATATGTAATGGAACTAATAAAGCGTGCATTGCTTTTAGTTTACTAACAACAATGTGTTACTACCATCATCGTCAGTATTCAGATCTTCAACGCGATTTTCGTCGCTGCTTACTTTCAAAATCTCACCTTTGAGCTTCTTTGCTTTAAATTGACAATAAAAATAATTACAATATAGAAATTTTAGGCTAAATTATAATTAGAAAAAGAGATATATAACCTACGCGTAGATAGAGTAAGAATACAGTGTCTTACAGCACCTTTCACTTCAAAAGACTAACAAAACAAAGCACAAATATACCAAACTACTATAAATGCCTAACAAAACTTAACTAGAAATATAACCCAATATTGAATCGCCTAATCATTGTACGAATAAGAGGTTAAATCGTCCTCTTTGGAGCAGAATGCCATGACTAGCAGTGCAATGATTGTGTCGTTATTATGATATAAAAAATATTTGATAATTAATACAGACTCCCGCATTAATGGCGCATTAGCAGTCTAAAGACAAAATGAGACAAAAATAATTTTAAATTTAATCTTTATAGTTTAACAATTAAAACAGTAAAAATAACATCTCAAAACAGTAATATACTATGAAAATTATAACAAATGTTGCATTTATAAAGTGAAACAATAAAACATACAGAACGTCGAGTCAACAAATTAATAAGTAACATAACAAATCTAAAAAGTAATATTTGTAAGAAAATAAAATGTACATAAAGTTAATTAAATATCAACCCTATTTAATATATTTATAAAAATATATTATTAATTACATTAGTTGTCACTAGTACAGGTAATACGGTCCGCATTTTCTGCACTAATCCCTTTACATCTAGCATTAGTTTTTACCACCACAATAATCTTAAACTTTACCAAAAAAAATCCAATTTGTCACGTGATTATATCACGAACAAAATACATCTTGACAATGTCTTGAAAGATGAGGCAGTAACAGACTACTTTGCAGGCGAAGCCTCGCTGTTACCGATCAGCCAATCAAAATCAATCATCGGATACTGTTTGGTTGTATCTACAATTAACATAAACGTGAAATATAACCAGAATTTACTAGTCATGAACCATCCTTAAGGGAATTCGGCGAAGTAATTCGTCGCTTTTGTGAAGCGCTTACACAATAACAATAGAATGAGACGACATTTATAAACCGAAGATGTGAGGTCAATTTGTGTATAGGTCAATATTATACAAGTATACTACAAATTTGTGTATAGATATATTCATAAATATTACGGTAGCAATAAATTACATCTATTTCTATAGAAATAGATGTAATTTATTTGTGATCCGTTGTATGCTATATATAGCATACAACGGATCACAAAGAAAAAGCCCAAAACCAGTAGAATTTTCACGTCCAACATATTATAAATATTAATATAAAAATTTTGAAGATGTTCCGAGTGATATTGTTTATCAATGACGATGCTGGTGACTTCGTTGACAGAACAGATGTGAATGAAATTTGGCACTATAAATTCAACTAAATTTCTACCGTATAAGTACATAGGATAAATATATAGCATACCTGTAAAATAAATTATTTCTCATGATACGCACAATAGTTCGTAATGGTACTCCAAATTCAATATGAGAATACTTTTATCCCATCACTATTTGTGGTAACACCATGATACTGATCAATTTAAAATAAAAAATAAGCTAACTCTTACCACATTATTTATCGCGCTAATCTTTTTCCATTATAAACAATTTTTTATAAAACACTGTTCAACTCAAAAGTCACGAACCGTAACAAGTTACAATACAAATCAGAATCGACTTCAAAGGTAGGAGAATAGTATATTATGTTTCTGCAAATTTATAGGTTCACCAGTGACTTACCGCTATTTGATGACTTTGCTCTCTCGTCCACGTTATATGTGAGGCCATAAAAAGGATCATCAGCTCCAAATAACTGAAATATATGAGAAATGTTATAATATATACTTGTCTTATCATTGACATGACAATTTTAAAAGTAAATTGAATTAAATATGCAAATTATTAAAATTTTAAATATGTATCCCAATAATATCAGTCATAAACAAGTAGAATAATTGCAAATACGAATCACTATTTCTTAATGTGATATTAAATATTTCTAAATTCTCCAACTCCCTTATTCATAAAAAAAATATCTAATAAACCTAATTTGTCTATTGAACTGTTCCGTCGTTCTCTTTAGAGCTATTTACTTCATTTGAAAGAACTTGACAAAACACTGATAGTAAAAATAGGTATGAATGAATTTTCAGTTTTTATGAATAAGGGCCTAAAAGATGTATGATATATGAATATCTCATTATCATCTCTTCAGATCATTAAATACATTCAAATCTACATTCATATATTTATTACATAATTATTTGTGGCGTGTTGACAATGAGGAATGGTGAAAGACATCGTAGGTCCTAATAGAGTTGCGTCAGCATTCTATGGACAATACAAAATCTTAATAAGAAAAACAGAAATGAAGAACATATTAACAAAATAATTTGCAAGTGTATCGTAATACACGCATTTATTAAAACAAAAAATGTTATAGCCATAACAGGTGTAGTTATTATCAACTTATTAAAGAATATTAAGTAATTGTTTTACCATATCTCTTATTTTTAAAACAATAATGGTAATTAGATGGCGATGATAACAACCCCACGCAACATAGTTAGTATCACACACGTCATACGTAACGATGTCGTCGCTTATATATGTATTTGTGTCAAATAGAACCAGTCACCACGAAGTTACATTCGGCTTCCAACACGTTGCCCGCAACGTGATTTGGGGCAGCGCTACTAACTGGACAATAACAAATGTCGAAACCTCCATACCACTTAATTTAACTATGTCGCGAATTTTTTCATATATTAATGAATACCGAAGTATTTGTATTTCCAAGCCATATTGAAGAGACTTTATTAACGGAACAGATACAAAATTTATAAACGGAAATATAGAAATATTAATTTACTGTACATACCCCCAACAGTGTGTTCGTATCTAAAGAATATCCATCTCCACGCAATAATTCTCTTAATGATTCAAGGTCTGACTGCATAGTATCCAGATGGTCATCAATATCATCCCTGGAAATGTTTAAAATTATACATACTTATGTTTTATGTCAAATAAAATTAATAAAAAACGATTTTATTAGTTAATTTAGAGCATAAAAACACACACACTCACATACACTCCGAAACAATTATGTATTACCTGTTACATATGATCTACTTAACAACTGATATAATCTACGACCTACTCATATGTCATAGATTTCATGTTTATGGTGATTAGGCAGTTTTTTATTTTATTGTGTTGTAATTTACCTGCCAGACCTTATAAAAACCAATTTTACCAACCTCAATTTAAAATACATTAAAGCCATCATAAATATTTAATCTAAAACCTACTTAGTTTATAATTAAAAACTATAAACTGTAACCAAATTCAAATAGGAAATAAATAATACCATTTTCCTAATCTGTAAAGTTAGACGTTATTAGAAAGCACACTGCAAAATTAAAGTCTTTTATAGATACTTATCGAAATTTTCGTGTACTAAAAATGAGAATGATTCATGCTCTTAGCATAAGTAATATTATGCTCTCACTTTCAATAAATATTTATAGTGTTTAAGACCATTGAATGAAGCGACTATTATAAATTATTATTACACATACTTGTTTGAATTTGTTCCATAAAGAGAAGTAAATTCCTCTAGATTTTTTCCGATGTTATCTCTTCTACCCCTGAATATTAAAATTAATTAATAAAAGAACACAAAATGAGGCGATATATGGGACAACATATACATATGTAGATTGGTCATAAATTCAATTTTGGTCAATTTTCAATTTTGATCTGAATAAGTGATATTATTTTACATTAAAATTAATGCCATGCTACTTTGAGCATTATGTAATAAAGTTGTTACATATTTTAAATAGTAATGGAGAAAAATAATAAGTTACTCAAAATAAATTTACCTGCTCTGATATCTGTTGATATTAGTGTTATTATTTACAGTAGCTAGAGTCATGTTACTCCAATCAAGATCATCTTGTAATTCAGTCTTAATGTCAGCTAAGTTAACAGCATCAGGTACATTGTCCTTGTTAGACTTTTTAGATTTCTCAAGAGACTTCACTGTGTTCATTGGTTTTTCTAATTTTATATCGCCAAGCATTTTATCTTTTCTCAAAACAGAAGAAGTATCTGTATTTAGAATAGATTCTTCAAGAATATTAGGAACTGGTAGACTTTCTGCTACTGGAACTCCAATATCACTCGCAGAATCATCACTGGCAAATATTTCAGCAGGAAGCTTCAAATCAGCTGATGGACTTGAACCCAATAACATTGTCGTGTTGAAGTTATTTGAAGACAATGATTTGCCGCTTTGCAATATATTAGACTTGTTTAAATTTCTACCTTTCGATTTAGGAGTTCCAAGGGATATGACAGGATTGTTTAGTTGCTCTGGTGATACAGGTTTGGTTGCAGTGGATGTTGGTGATGATACAGGTAAGGTGTTTGTAGTGTCAATAGTTTGTGAAGTGCTGTTTATTCTATATGAAGGATAAACTGGAATAACTCTTGCAGCATCTGGAAAAATATTGTTTCAAGCATAATATTGAATCAAGAATTTCTATTAATAAAAAATCTATATTTATCTGCCTACACTTCAACACTGAAATATAATAATGGACGAAAAAGTAGTCCCATATAATTCACAATTTGAAGGTCACTGTGGTCTACCAGTTTACACGCTTTACTTCCAATGGTTACGGGTTCGATTCCACATATGATGCGAACATTTATATTAATGAGTAATAATTGCTATCTGGGTATATAAAAGAGTATAGTAAAATATTTCATCAGTTCTCGAATAACCATAACACGTTTTGCATAGTAATGGGACTAGATGGCGCTGTATAAACTATCCTGAGTTATTATGAATTGCATACATTATGTGTATGGCATAGTTTATTGACAATGGGTTAACCTTCAAGATGACCTGAGTTAACAAATAAATTCACTTTACATTAGTAATGTTAAAAACAATATTTTGAAATTTTTAAATATGCAGCTGTAGTAACAAAATGAAAATACACATTAGTGTATTGTAGTGCTATTAAGTATTTTATAATTTAAGACTAATTACAACTACTCATTATTACCTGATTGTGAATCATCAGCTTCATCCATAGTCACATGGTATTGAAGGGCTCCTACAGGATCAACCGGACTTTGCTCAGTGGGAATAGCAGGCAGTTCTACAGTTATAAAATTATTTCCATCCAATGACTCTTGAGATTCATCATTATGTAAAATATCATCATGAGCCAATTCATGAATAGTAGGTCCATCTTCCTGCAAGAAATTGAAACATGTCACTCAGTTATTTAGTCTCAGGTACAGGGATAAAGATATGGTAATTCATACAAGATTGCTTTATAAGCTATGTTTTAGTTTTAAATATGAGATACAGCAAGGTATTACAGAATATAAGGGCCTAACTTAGTCCTTTAAGAGTTTAAGAGGTGTATAGATCATTATGTATTGTGATCCATGGTGTTCTTCACATATAAAGGCGATGTTTGCTGCTTAAATGACTCACACACACATCAATTCAATTTACATTTTTTATATGTTTGTAATTGGAATGAAAGCTTCATTCCAATTACATAAAAAATATAAATTCTGAAATATAATAGCATCTAACATACTATATATTACTTATTCAATAACATGAAACTAAAGTAATTGTTCATCAAAAGTTATTGACTATTTGTACAAAAATTGCAAAAATGTTAAAGTAAAAAAAATTGTGTACCAAATTATCTTCATTCACATCTTCTAACAGCATGTCTTTATCGAGTCTAATATTCTTCATTTTACCAGGGTAAGAAGTGTCTGTGGCAGAGTTATGTGCTGCATTGTTTATCATGAGTTGATATGGTCTTTTCACACCAACATTATTGCCATTGGCATTAGAAGCTCTAGTTGGCTGCACTAGTGACATCAAGAATTGGATGAGCTGGAATTATAATGTTGTTAATTACTAACCAATATTCTGTAACAGATTTAACAGAGTTAACCTTTACTAGATATAAAATTATTATTATTAGTACATATTGTTGACTATACATACATTGTTGACTATTTGCTGCTGTTTAATATGCTTCTGTCGCAGTATGGCCACCTCCCTCCATAATGCTTCATTTTCTTGTTTCATGGCACTGAACTTAGCATCAAGACTCTCTTGTTTCCCTTTCATTTGCTTTACATCTGCTAACACTTTATTCATAAGCTCTGGTTTAAGAATAATTTTCTCACTACCATCACTGCTTACAACAGACTTTGAATTTGCAATCTTCCTTTTAATATGCTCCAGTAAATATGCATGACCTCTCATAAAACAAGGATGAGAAAATTCTATATCATCTTTTTCATATCTCAGGCCACCATTTTCAACAGAGGTGATTTTGTGAAAGCCATACATATTCAATTGCCTAATAAAACTTGCCATATTGTTGTGTTTATAGTAAAGAGGTAATAGCTCCCGAGCAAAATCTGCTTGATTTTTTATGACAAATGTTTTTCCTCCCTGAAAATATTTATTATTTTAGTAACAAAATCCATCTGGGATGAAAATAATACAGCTATCTCTTGTGAGTACCTTAGATTTACACCGTAGAATACCTTATGATTTTGTTTTCATAGAAAAATACACCATTTTATATTTTATGTTAAGTAATGATTTATTATTAATTATATTATTTGTCCACATTGTTTAGTATATTTTGAAGTGTTTTTTTATATTTATCCATACTAATATTGTAAATACAAATGCGTCAGTCTGAGTATAATTAAATGATGATGATGTGAAGAATATAAAAATTTGGAAGAAAGTAAAAACATTTCTATATCCTAACTAGAGAGTTAGGATATAGAAAACCTAATAAAAATTAGAAATTATATCACTTGAATTGCTAATTCTATATAGACAAAGTTGCAGGCATCAGTAGGTTTATACAAAATTATTAAAATTACGAGACTTCATAACCAGAAATGGAATTCATTTAAGGTGGCTGTCTATTTCTAAAACTATTAACTGTATATATCCTTGTTATCTTGCCACTTAGCCTTTGATAGATATTTCGTAATTTAAATTCTTACTAGCTGTACCCGCGACTTCGTCCGCATGGAAATTAACTTTAATTTTCTAAAATAAAAGTAACCTAAGTTACTCCTTATTACATCATCTTCGTGTCAAAAAAGTCCCGTCAAAATTGGTCCAACCATTTCAGAGATTAGCCGGAACAAACAGATAGACAGACAAACCAAAATTGTAAAAAATGTCTTTTAGGTCTATGTACCATATTTATATTCATATGATTGTAGTAAAAAAACTGTTATTTCAATATTCCAAACAGACACTCCAATTTTATTTATATGTATAGATTACTATGTGCTATGTCTCTATTATTACTGTATAATAGAGACATAGCACATGTCTATATTATACAGTAATTATACAAAATTTTGTTCGCATCTCATAACTGCATAGAAATAGATATACTGCACAAATTATTACATTAATCTAGGTATGATTTAAGAAAGACATTAGTAACATTGTAAAACTAACATTTAATTGCCCACTATACATCCCCCTCCAGCCACTTTCTCAGCCTACTATGTGTAAACAAAAATTGGAATTTACCAATTTCACATCGTAACATAAATACCATACTAAAATCATAAATGTAATAGTGTCACCTTTTTAAAACTAAATGGATGTATGATCTTAATGTAATTTGATGACATAGATTATATCATGATTAAATCATGGATAACAGATATTATCCATTTATTACATTATTATTTGCATAGGAAAGTAGACAACCAGCATGCTCTTCTCCTGGTCAAATATTTATAAATAACTAATATATTATTTCCCCACGAAATTATTTAATAAATAAGTAGAACTAGATGGCGAATTTTTACTTTCATAATGGAAAGGTAATTTGATGATGTAATTCCAAGTAATACTAATAAAATTGTATGTAGTATAAATACACACATTATTGTAGACACAAGTCATACAACATAATAACAAATTATTTTTTAATGGTCACTGAAAACAATTTACTTCATGCAAACATGACGTTTAGTGTTTATTTTAGTAAAAAGCATTTGCATTTAATTTTTTAATTGAAATAACTTTTAAACAATAAGTACTTGGTACATTATATCGAATTTGAAATAAACAAATAAATAGAATATAAAGAAATCAATAAATCTGTTTATGTAATTAAATCCAAGTACATGGATTGTTGTTCCTATGTCAAACGCAATAAGCATGCTAGAAAACGTGACATGTATATATTTATTTATCAAGACTGAAGTCGGCAGTCGGATTAATGTATTTTTTAGTAATATTCGCATTTTTTAAATCTTATATTGTTTGACCCGCCTATTACATTATAGAAATGTATATAAATAAACAAATAAAAGATCTCATTATCACCAAACTTACAGGGCTCCATGAAATCAAATGATTTGTCTCTGTATCGTTTACTAATTTCCATAATTTTCCAAGAAATGCTGGAACACTAGCACCTATTTCCACAATAGAACGCATTTTGAGAAGTGATGCAATTAATAATAACGAAGATTAGAAAGTCAATAACAGATATTTTGCAAGAATTATTTATGTACACAGAGATAGAATGTTGTTCAAGAATCGCCATTTAATTACAACAATCATAGACTGATTGGGCACATTCAGTCAATCGTATTTGACGTTTCGCTTTAGTTTTTTTACTTCATATGTCAAAAAAATTATAGTGACATTATATAAATATAATAGAATTGATAATATCATATTCGGATAGAGGGCACCATTTTATTATATACATAGTAGGATGTCCCTTATTCTTTGAGAATATTTTGTAATGTATACCTGTGGTAGTATAGAAACTCTTTATAATACTATGATTTGTTTTTTTATTGTCTTGTCATATTGTAACATTTCAACATGTATATCTTACTAGCATTTTAGTTGAATTAAACCAATATTTCCTTATGGTCTATATCGTTTTGTATCAATTAATTCAACTAATAAAATACAATTAACAATGTCAAGAAAAAGTCGCAGTAAAAAGATTGAAGCAGATATAATGTCGATGCCAGGGCCGGCTTCTACAAGTTTAGCACGATATCTACGTCCGGAAAGATTTGAGTTAGACCCGAGTTCTACTGATGCCGATATTGAATGGACGCATTGGCTATATACATTTAACAATTTCCTATCAGAAAATAATGGTGAGTTTACTGATGAACATAAACTAAAAATTTTAATTAATCACTTATCTCCCAGTGTGTATGTAAACATAAAAGAATGTATTGATTATGAATCGGCTATTTTAATTTTGAATGGAATCTATATTAAACAGAAAAATGAAATACATGCACGTCATATTCTTGGCACTCGAAAGCAACGTAGTGATGAATCTATAGATCAATACTTACGTCAACTTAAATTACTTGCTCAAAAATGCTCTTTCAAGGATGTCAAAGCAGAACAATATCGATCAGAATATATCAGGGACGCATTTATTGCTGGTATTTCTTCACACAAAATACGCCAACGTTTGCTAGAAAATCTGGAACTGTCACTTGATCAAGCATTTAACCAAGCACTTTCACTAGAAATGGCAGAAACAAATTCTCGATCTTTCAATGATAACATACCGCTTAACGCAGTTGATTCCATATCTACCTTATCTGATTCACAAAATAAAAAAAACCAAAACTTTGTCTTCTTACGATAATGAAGCGTCTACATCCATATCAGGAGATAATATAGCAGAAACCGTTATAGCTGCCACAACAAATAAAAGAAGATGTTTCTTTTGTGGTAGTAATGTAATTCATCAGCGGATAAGATGTCCAGCTTTAAATAGCACTTGTCAAATTTGTTTTAAAAAGGGACATTTTGCTAATGTTTGTCGAAGCAAACAAACTATGAATGCTGTCATAGTAAATGAGACTAATAATAGTAACTCTGCAGAGGTTGCAGCTATATCTGCAGCTTCTTTACCTAGTTTACATAAAGCAACTGTACCTATCACCATTAATAAGTATTATGCTGAAGCCCTTATCGATACTGGAAGCTCATTAAACTTTGTAAATGAAGAATTAGCGCACTTATTGAAACTTAAACAGAAACATTGTCAACAAATTATAACTTTAGCTTCACTTAATCATACATCACCAGTCAACTGTTACTGCAATGCAACTTTACAATTGAATAATCATTCGTACGACAATGTCAAATTATTAGTTGTACGTAATTTATGCGCTGATATTATACTAGGTCATGACTTACTTAAAGCTCATCACTCCTTAGAACTGAAGTTTGGTGGTCCCCGAGATCCTTTGAAGATATGTAATGTCATGGCTGCTAACTTACCTCATGCTACATTATTTTCAAATTTATCTCCTAATGTCAAACCCGTAGCAATAAAATCAAGACGTTACAGCGAGGGTGATCAACAATTTATTAAAGAAGAAGTTGAAAAACTATTAAAAGATGGAATCATTGAGCCAAGTATATCACCTTGGCGGGCACAAGTTCTAGTAACTGGCGGTGGTATCCATCGTAAACGTCTCGTTATTGATTATTCTCAAACTATAAATAAATTTACAGAACTTGATGCATATCCTTTACCTAATATTGAAGTACTTATATCAAAAATTGCGCGGAATAAATATTTTAGCCAAATTGATCTCAAAAGTGCCTACCATCAAGTACCAATTCAACAGAGAGAACGACCTTATACAGCATTTGAAGCATGCGGTAATCTATTTCAATTTACACGTATACCGTTTGGAGTAACAAATGGAGTATCAGCATTTCAAAGAACGATGCAATTTATCATATCTAACGAAAATCTTACTGACACTTATGCATATTTAGATGACGTTACTGTTTGTGGTAAGGATAAGCTTACTCATGATGCTAATCTAGCAAAATTTATGGCAACTGTAGCAAAGTATAAAATTACTCTAAACAAAGACAAATGTAATTTTGGTTCTGAGACTATTAATATATTAGGTTATACTATAGAGAACAATGTTGTAAGACCTGATAAAGAGCGTCTTAAACCTTTACTCTCCATGCCTGCACCTACAGATATAAATTCTCTAAAGAGAGTATTAGGTATGTTTGCACATTATTCTAAATGGATAAATAACTATTCAGAGAAAATAAGCAATTTAGCGACTAATAATTCATTTCCATTATCACGTGATGCAGAAATATCCTTTGAGAGTCTTAAGAAAGATATTGCAAACGCTGCTTTAATTGCTATTGACGACACACAAATGTTTACTGTAGAGACTGATGCTTCTGAACATGCCTTAGCAGCAACACTTTCACAAAATAGTCGCCCGGTAGCATTTTTCTCTCGCTCATTGACAGAGTCCGAAAGAAACCATTCTTCAATAGAGAAAGAAGCGTCGGCAATTGTTGAAAGCCTACGTAGATGGCGTCACTATTTAATTGGAAAACATTTTCTTTTAATAACGGATCAACAATCGGTTTCCTTCATGTTCAATCAAAAACATTCAAGTAAAATTAAGAACGAGAAAATAGAGAGATGGAGGCTTGAATTATCTTGTTTCAAGTTTGATATTATATATCGACCGGGTAAACAAAATATTGTATCTGATACTTTGTCAAGAGTTTGTGCTAATATGTTTTCACGCAAAAATTTATATGAGCTTCATAATACATTAAGCCATCCAGGAATCACAAGAATGGCTCATTGGGTGCGGTCTAAGAATTTACCGTATTCGATTACTGAAATTAAGAATATGACTGCAAGTTGTCCTATTTGTTCAGAGATAAAGCCAAGATTTGCAAACAGTAAAGGACGACTTATTAAAGCGACGTCCCCATTTGAAAGACTTAGTTTAGACTTCAAAGGGCCGTTGCCTTCAAATTCCGAAAATAAATACATTTTAACTATTGTTGATGAATTTTCTCGATTTCCCTTTGCCTACCCCTGCAAAGATGTATCATCCGCTACTATAATAGCAAGTTTAAAGCATCTTTTCTTTACTTTTGGAACTCCTCTCTATGTACATTCAGACCGTGGAACTGGATTTATGTCACAAGAATTTAAAGATTTCCTGATAAGGAATGATATTGCATGCAGCAGGACTACGCCTTATAATCCAGAAGGAAATGGCCAGGTCGAAAGACTGAATGGGACTCTGTGGAGAACTATACAATTATCCTTACGATCCAAAAACCTAGATATTCGGTATTGGGAAGATGTCTTGCCTTTAGCGCTGCACTCAATTCGATCGTTATTATGCACAGCTACTAATGCTACACCACATGAGAAGATGTTCTGTTTCCCGAGACGATCTGGTAATGGAGTTTCTTTACCTTCTTGGTTAATGATTCCGGGCCCAGTATTATTAAAAAAAAATGTAAGAAAAAGTAAATATGATCCTTTAGTGGAAGAAGTGGAACTGCTGGAATCAAACCCAAACTATTCTATAATACGCTTTGCTGATGGGAGAGAGGATACAGTATCAAACCGACATCTAGCGCCAATTAATAGGCAAATTGAAGAAGTAGTCACTGAAGATGAAACGTATAACTCCATTCATAACCCTTCTGATACAGATGCCGAGATCTACCAGACAGCATCTGAGAATGAAAATTTAAATGCTGATAATTCCGGTTCAGAATTAGTTCATTCGCCCCAACGGCCTGTTCGTGAAAGAAGGCCCCCTGTTTACTTAAATGATTATGAATCATAAGGATGGGTGAATGTGGTAGTATAGAAACTCTTTATAATACTATGATTTGTTTTTTTATTGTCTTGTCATATTGTAACATTTCAACATGTATATCTTACTAGCATTTTAGTTGAATTAAACCAATATTTCCTTATGGTCTATATCGTTTTGTATCAACTGTATTTACATGCATTGTATAAAAAATTCGGCTCATACCATTAACGAAAACGCGTGGCGACTTGTATTTTAAAAATGTTCATACAAGTGCGGGTTTCGTGCGTGTTACTTGCGGTTGTTATATAAATAACGTATAATGTCAAATTATCAGAACAGATATGTATTTTGAAATAATAATACCTATTCCTTTCTCTATTTCAACATTTTTAGGTATTAAATTTCAATATTTTGTATTTGTGTAATTGTTAAAAAAATAATTGATAGAAACCTGAAACACTGTTAATTTAAGATTAGATAATTCTGTAAGAAACTGACTTCAATCCTAATCTTAGTTATACTTTTGGGAAGGGATAAGATGGACTGACGGGACTTAAGTGAGTTCAATGTAAAGTATTCATTGTTAGTATAAATAATTACATGGCTAATCTGGCAACAGGCAATATATGATATGATGTTCTTTTATTTAGATAAATTTATAAGAGCCTGAATGGGAGAAAACATATCATAGACAAGGTATGGCTGGGCTTAAACGGATCTGTATCCAGAGCCGTGAAACAATATAAATAAAAAAAAAAGCCTAGGTAACAGTCAGTCTCTCATCTCATTCTGCCTCTAATCTGTAATGAAGGTGACATTGACAATAATGAGATTTTATTGCTTGTGGAATTTTTGAGTCTGTCTGATCTGTGAACCTGTGGATATCGCTGTATTAAATATTGGCTTACGCTTCTCTTCACCTTTACCGTTCAATTTATAATTCCAATTAATTAATTATTATTTTCGTTTATTTAAATATTTAACCTTTTACATTAATTTTACTTAGAACTTTAGTGTGTGCCATGAACTTTAAATCAATACCAAAAAATATCTAAGTAAAGTACCGTATATACCCCGGTACTGCACCTGTTTCAAATTACTTTATTTCTGCGGAATTGTCTTTCATCCTAATGGAGGTAAATAATTTATTTTCAATTTCTGTTGGATATTTCTTTCCCGATACAATAAACGTATTTTTATATTTTAATGTCTTTGTTTTAGATTGAAATTTTAAACGTCGTCGGCTCTAAACCCTTGGGCAAAATTACCGTCAATGATGATGCTACAATCAAGAATGTTAAAGACAAGATTCACCAAAACGTAAAAAAATCTTTGTATCCCAGCCGACAGGCTATAAAAATTGAAGCAAAAGGAAAAGTGTTAAAAGACGAAGACACTCTAAAGTCTCTTAATATTCAGAGTGGCGCAAAGTTATATTTGAAAGACCTTGGTCCTCAAATCTCCTGGACCACTGTATTTTTAGCTGAGTATGCAGGACCTCTTTTTGTATATCTATGGGTCTATCAGAGGCCATGGATACTATACGGAGATGTTTCTTCAGTCCATGGAACAGTTTCAAAGTATGTCTTGTATTAATAAAAAGTATTATGATCCTGGTAGAAAACATTTTAATCTTTAACTGTGTTTTACAGCGTAGCAGCCATTTGTTGGTCAGGTCATTATATAAAACGACTTTTGGAGACTGTGTTTGTGCACCGTTTTTCACATGGCACAATGCCTGTACGGAACCTATTCCGTAACTGTGCTTACTACTGGCTGTTCACCTTATATGTGGCCTATCATATTAATCATCCTCTTTATACAGCTGCAAATAGCCTGTATTTCCTTGTTGGTCTTGGTGGTTTTATTGTAAGTATATATTTTATTAATAAAAAAATTATTTAGCACATTATGGATTCTGATAAAAAAAATGTATTATAAAAAAGATGTGATTAGTATTGTCTAACTACTACATGAATAATTTAATTTATGTCATTTTAGTACAAATTAAATAGACTATTAAACTATATTAATTCTGAAATTAAATTGAAGAATGTGAAAAGAAATAATAACATTAACTTAACTTAATAATAACATTAGAAATATTTAATGACACCTCATAAAAAACTGCTTTCCAATTGACTGTTTTTGCATAATCTATGTATATAACAAGTTTCATTAAACTCCCATTATCTTTTTGACCATGATTAATACACATAAAATATTTTTGAATGTTAATTATGTCATCATCATCTGCTTCTTCCTTATCCCATTTATTTGGGGTCGGCGTAATGTTTTTCGCTTCCATTCATCCCTGTTCGCAATCATCATATCATGAATGTTAATTATTTATCACCAGCATTTCTTGTGGCAGTTGGTTAAAGTTATAAGTTACAATATTTTAATTTTATACCATAGTCGTAGTCACAGTCAATCATACCAATCTATACATACATACAAACCTAACTAAGTCACTTGACAATGGTGTTTTTTTGCTCATATTTCATTTTAAAATTACGCCTTAGACAATAGTGGATAGCAGGCTATATTTTGGGCCACTCAATTTTGTGTAACCCTATAGCAAACTGTTTTCTCCTATCTTTTATTATCTTTTATAAAAAAAAATCTGTTAATAAAAGTAATCAGTATTAATAGTTCTTTTTAATGAAGGATAGAAGAAAAACAGTTTGTTATGAAGTCACACATTTGGCATTCTTTATGTAAACAGCATTTTTTTATTAGTGAATGGTAATGGAATGATGGACCCGCCTACACTAACAGTAACATTGGCTAAGCAACAGTGGAGGATGATAGGATGAACATGAGGTCACGTCAGTTAGCCCACCGTGACAAATTTACCAGGATGGTTACCCGGGGGACCTGTGGATGTCACCTGACATGGTACAGTGCAAGCAATGGGGTCATCTATACACATTACTAACAAATACCTTTCCCTCTATATAAAAAGCATTGTATTCATGCAAAAGACAACCTAATTTAATGGAATACTAATTTCAGGTGTGTGAGCTGGGCAATCTAAGTATTCATCTCTTGCTTAAGAATCTCCGTCCTCCTGGTACTAAGGTGCGGCGCATTCCCGTTCCTGATGGCAACCCACTTTCTCAACTATTCAACTTTGTGTCTTGCCCTAACTACACATATGAAGTTGGCTCTTGGATATTCTTCACCATCATGACCAAATGTGCTCCAGGTAAGTTATCTATTTCTTTTTTTTTATATAACATAATCTAAATCCCCCCACCAGTTTAAGGGCCAATGGGAACTGCCGGATTCTGATCTGTCAGATCTAATAGACTATACTGGCTATTTGTTCTCTAACATTGCAGAGGCCATAGAAATTGCTTTCGCATTCATTCAATACTCTGTCATGGTATGTATGTATGTATGTATGTATGTTGGACTCCATTCTCCGCAATTAGCCTCTCATTCGGGCCGTTGTGCGTGTAGAGCCAGACTACTAAAGTAGCCAGCCAAGCTCCTCCCAAAAGCGCAGAAGACTCCTGGTGTCTTCGCAGGCTTCACGGAGCGACCTCACCATTCCGAGGATTTGTTTTCGTTGTTGGGCCACTGCCGTGCACTCCAGGATTACGTGAGCCGCCGTTTCTTCAGCTTCAAAGCAGCCCCGACAAAGGGGGCTGTCTGTAGCATCAATTTTGTATAAGTGTTTGTTTAGGGAACAATGGCCCGTTATTGTCCCTATCATTATTTTGAGGTTATGTCTATCTAGATTAAGTAGACGTGTTGTTAACCGATGGTTCGTTTTTGGAATTGCCACTTTAGATTGTTTGCAATCAGTGGTTAGGTTCCATCTTTGGTTTTGTATTTCGGTGGATCTCTGGCGAATCCAGGTGCGAAGTTGCGAGAATGGTATTGGCATAAGCGGCCTGCAACCACCATACCGGATCCTACTCTCGCTAGTTCGTCCGCGGCGTCATTGCCATATGATCCACTGTGCCCCTTTATCCACTGGATAATTACTCCGTTGTGCGTTGCAATTTTTTCCAGGGCGATGTGGCACTCGATTATTAGTTTGTTGTTGGATTTTCTGTTCTGTAGTGCTTTAAGCACGGCTGCACTGTCCGATATGAATTTAATGTTGAAATTGTTGACCCCTAACCTGTACACGGCTTTTGCTGCCTCGGTCAGGGCAACACATTCGCACTGAAAGATCGAACTGTGTTTGCCGAGCGGTATAGATATGTTCATGTTGAGGTCAAGGGAATGTGCCCCAGCTTCTGAACCGTTCTGTGTTTTGGAGCCATCTGTGTATATGCGTAGTTCATTTACTGCAGATTGGTCCCTTTCCTCCTCCTTCAATTGTATTTGGTATTTCCTGTTGAACGAGTGGTATGCTTGAGTTCTGTCACACGGAGCGGCAATCAAGGGTTCATATTCGATTGCTTGGTTCAGGATGGTTGTGTGAGAACTGTAATGGTTTTTGCCCCATAGACCAAGATGGTATAATCTTGTGGCAGCTATAGCTGCTTCCTGCTGTATGTATAGGTCAAGGGGTGTTATGTTAAGGGCTATTTCCATTGCCATTGTTGGGGTTGTTTTCATACATCCAGTAACTGAGGAGCACGCAAGTCTTTGGAAAGATCTTAGTTTGTTGACTGTGGTCGTAAGTTTCGACCTTGTCCACCAAACCAAGGCCCCATATACCAGCATTGGTCTTATTACTGATGTGTATGTGTACTCTGTCATGGTTCCCATCGAAAAGACCTATCTAGGCTTGCAGGGAATAGCTCCCTCATGAGCATCTGATAACAGAAGTTATTTATAATAGGAAATAATGGATTTTGTTATGAGAAAGTGAACACTGGAAGTACTGCACCAATTTAAGAAATTCTATCCCTGTTAAAATGGTATATTGTACATGAGTGCCACACATATATTATATTAATAGATACAACACTTATGAGCACCAAGTTGAAGCTGGGGGTGGGACCCTTTGTTTATCATTCATGTCATCTGAAGTAGTTACTTTTAAGTAATAATGCTGGCTCAATTTTTGTTCACGGTAAAATATATATATCAATTGTTCATTGTGTATCTATTGTTAGAAAATACCGTCAGGCAGAAGTAATGAAAAGGTTGATTTAAGAACTAAAATTACTCTTTGGCCAACAATTTTTTTAACGTTAAATAGTTTTGTTTGATTCTCCTTTAAATAAATTAATGTTATTTGAATAATTTGAGCTATTATATGATAATTCAGTACCACACTAAGTATATGGGCGACCAAACATCGCGTGTATTTTCAATTGTATTTTTCCATATACTTGAAAGTAAAATGATACCAAAATCCAAATTGTTATCATCAAAGCCATTTACATTATATTCATAATAATTACATATTGTTGTAATGTATTGAAAGAATTCATATATTGTTTTATATTATTAGATAACTACGATAACTATTTATTACCATTATTTAGATATCACAATATATATGATATCACAATAATACCACAGTAAAAAACAAAATTGTATGTTATAACTGTAAAATCCATTGTCAGATTCTAATATAATGTTAGTCCCAGTTGAGTTGCACACACGAAAAGTCGTGGAAACTACAGTCCTTATCGTGTCATATTGTTAGATTAAATCTGCCTTGCTGTCGCCCGAATTGCCACCTCGCACTCTCGAGTGTGCCCAACTTAGGGACAACTAGAGTTTCTTCTAATCTTTAACATTGACTAATAACGTGAAATAAAGTTATAGCTGCAGTTCTAGGACGTAATTAAACAGATGTGAATATGAGAACTGTACCTGCTTAAAACTGCTAGCATTGGATATTCACATTATCAGTTGTTAGTGTTTTTTTTAATGGAAACAATGAGTTCCACAAAACTACTAAATTATACGGTAAACTTCATGAATATGCCGACAACAGTCCACAATAATATGTCGGTTACGACGTTAATGTATCTTTGAATTTATCAAATGTAAAGCTAATGTATCGTAGAAGAATTTCTTCACCTCAAAAATAACTTTACATACTCTTATTTAAAATTAGTTGAATTTAATACGTTTTGCGTAAATCTTTTTCTCAACTTTTGATGATAACAATAACACGATTATTCTGATAGTGTACATATCAAATTTTATGGCCCGTAATGTAATTATGGCTGCTACGATTTAAAATTAAATATTATGAAATAAATTGTCGATTTGCTCATTATAATCTTTTTAATTATAATTTGAATATATATGCACTCAGTTTTAACCTTATTCATTGATCTCTGAACCTTGTATATCTGATATCAAATTCACGAGGTGTAGGTATGGCTTGCATAATAAAAAGCTTGCTTAGTATAACGGGACATCCATTAATTACCTGAGGTATTTAGAATTATTCGGACAAAAAAATATCAAAATCGCCTCACGCACATCGCGTAATATAATGACTAAATATCAAAGATAAAAAGTAAATGTTCCAGTATATGTTACATTCTAATATTGTGAAATTTGTATATCTGAAAATATTTTGTAGTATGTAACGGTTTTTTTTTTCATTTCAGCGGGTGTATTCGCATTTGCCGGTTTCTATCAAATGGCTGTATGGGCGATCGGTAAACATCGCAACTACAAGAAGGAATTCCCTGAATACCCTAAAAGTCGTAAAGCAATTATACCTTTCATTCTATAAATTGGTATCAAGGTACTGTTTCATTAGTGAAACTTCTATAAATTCCGTATTTATATACGAATTTAATAATATATTTTTATAAGGAACTACATATATTCCTTATTCACGGTTGCTATGGCTTATTGGGTGTTGGATATTAAAATAGTTATTTGTGTTGGACGCATGAAAAATTAACGGATAAATGTTATTATAATAGGAAGGTATACAGGATGGTTTTTAATTAGGACGGGAACTGTTATAGATAATAATTATTTAATTAAAATTTTATTTTTTCTAAAATTTAATTGTTTAGAATAATAAATGATTCCATTTGTATTAGTGACAATATGCATTTAAGTTAATAATAAAGTGGTAAATTTACAACTGTTGTATATTTTTTCAAATAAATCATTTTTTATACACTAACACAATACTAAAGTATAATTATAGACTATTTCTTTATAGTAATTAAGATAGATGTTTTTAGCCTTCGTTTTTATTAACATCATTATCAACCTCTGTCATCATGTCAGATTCTTCTACACACCGCACTTTACTAAGCAAGCGTTCGTTTTCCTCTTTTAAAGCAACTATTATCTCTTCACGTTCCTGTAAAAATAAATAATAATTTTAAATAAAATATATATTAATTTTAAATTATTTAAACTAGTCTAAGTCTATAATTATTATATTTTATTCTTTAAATTTTTTTAAATTTATTCTTTAAACTAGTCTAAGTCTATAATATCGTCAATATTACATATTGCGTCAAAGACCAATTTGCTACAGTACATTGCAAACATTGGCGATAATACTTATCATATGGAACATTTTTAAGCAGTTTTGACTTAGTATGGTACACCCACCCATATACAAATTTTGTCGTGTATGTATTCTATGCCGTGAATATAGAAGAAATAAATAAGATAAAGTACCTCTACTTTCTGTTTGAAATTTTCGTCAATTTTCTCCCTGTCCTCAGTAACATGCTTGAGCTTAGCTCGAGCAGTGGCTGGTGGAATGTACCGCGCGGATAGTCCTAAGATCGACTCCATTTGGAAACATCGTGTACGTGTCGATTTGAGTTCCGTTCGCAAATTGTTAATCTCCGTGAGAAGTGTGCAATTTTCCTAAAAATATATACATAATCTATTACAATGGTGGCCATCGAGTCACATACTAAGTTGAATTTGTACTAGTAGTACGCTAGAATGCTGACATATACATACAAGTACATATTCTGTTAATACACACATCATAGTAAACAAACTTAATCATTTAACTAATATTTGTATTGTACGTAGATTGACACTTCAATAAAATCCGTCATATATTATTACTATAATTACTTAGGTGTATATTCATAAACATTCAAAAACATCGGGCAGTTCATTTTGTAGCTGGTCTAGTCACGAATACATTTATGGATATATTCACATAGCGACCTTCGCTTAGTAAACAAAAAATTTGCATGTTCAATTAAGTAATAACTAACATCCATAATTTTTCCGATATCGCTCTTAGAACCACCCACGGACTTGGAAAGCTGTTGTTTGAGAGCAGCGACTTGCTTCTCTAAGTGGTCACGTTGTCTGTTAAATTCCCTTATTGCTTCGTCCTCTGCTACTCGACTACGCACGAAGTCTATGTCTTCAACATACTTGTGAAAAAGGGCCTGTAATTTCAATGTGGTTTAAATGAGTAACACGTATTAATACACACAATTACACTACTAAATAATAATAATATCTTAGAACCATTTACAGAACGACATCTAGTCTCTGAATAATAGAATAGAACTGATATAAATACATATATACATTTTTTGTAAATACATACATAATATACATAGGAAACACCCAGCCTATACAAACAGTCATAGTCATGAATACAAATGTTTGTACAAATGAGTTCAAATCCGGTTAACACTAAAAAGAACATATATTTCTGATAGACTCTACGGTGAATTAGACACCTAAGATTAAGAAGACGATACACTCGCCCTCTGTCATGTTGGATTCAAATATGACCAGTGGAATATGGTTCTTTCAAATCTTCATTTCTACGTTCACTAATATGCTAATAATGATGATGATAATTGACAACGCCTCTAACAGCCGTGACGCTATGTTTATTAACTTACTTTAACATTCGATTTTAACTTGGCCGGGTCTTGGAAATTAGCAGTCATATTGTGTAGGTCTATTTTGATTTTCTTCAAAGTATTTTTTAGTGTCAAATTTCTTTCAGCTTCACTCATAAAGTCTTTTTTGGCGGACGACAGTTTTTCATTTAATTGATTAATTTTAAGTTCTGTAATTTTAAAATAATAATATACAGAAAACAGGTAAAAAATATTTTTAATTACGTGTGCTGAACATCAGTGCCAAATGTAGGTGTGAAAACTAACGTTTTACTGTGACAGTGTAAATTGTTATAACACAAATTTATTTGTATTCAAATTATTAGTTTAGTAAATTGCATCTTTTGCTCTATCTATACTTTAACATGTTTTATTATAAGTGTAAAAGTATACAGAAAATATTATATTTCAATAAAATATATAAGGAAGTTACAGTCAGGAACACTACGTACTACAAAACTAAATTCTAGATTACTTTTGGTGTTACATCCTTTCCAATAAGCATATATTATACAGCGCCATACCCACAAAGTAAGAAAAGCATGTACTGTGTATAAAACGAATATAATCGGGTGAAGTGTGTCTATTCTAGTCCGTCTATTTATCATTTATCATGTCTATTTATATCAATATTTAAAATTGTCATATCTATTCAAAATTGCAATATTTGCGTAATAGATGCTACATATATGACTAGAGGTTTGTTTATACATATATAACAGAGTTGCGATCAATTCATATTTAAAAAGACAAGTGACAGTTGCAATTGTAATGTATTTTGTGATAAACGGTTCTTTAATGTATGATACTAATTCTGATATTTTAACCTCTTTTAAAATGAATGAAATAATAATAATGTATCGCTTTATTGCCATTCCAGTCTTAGGAAAAAGAAGCAATTGCACGGAGAAAATACAAATCCAGCTTTGTTCAAAATTTTCTCATCATCATCATCATCATCATCGCAGCCCGGAAGACGTCCACTGCTGGACATAGGCCTCTCCCAAAGATCTCCACGACGATCGGTCCTACGCTGCTCGCATCCAATGCCTTCCAGCGATCTTGACCAGATCGTCGGTTTTTTCAAATTTTCTCATACATGACATAAATTATCTCATGTATACTGCTTTGATTCAGAGTTTTGCATTGGTTTTCGTACAAATGTGTCTAAAAAAACTATCTAAAATACTAGTGTTTACGTGTCTATCGTTTAGTGATCGTAGAAAAAAATTACAACATAATGCAAATTCAAATTACCACGAAAATCTTTTTGTTTTAAAAGAGTTTCAAGAGACACTTCCAGTTCAAGTATACGCAACTTATTTTCTTTGATATCGCGTTCTAACGGCTCTATCTGTTCAGAAGTAAGAAAAATTGTAACTTTTTTCTAAAATTAGTTATGCTCATTCTACGTTTTTCTACAATTTACTATAATAGTACACATTGACTGTATTTTGCATACCAAGTTCGTGTTTTACGTTTAATAACTTTAACTCTTCGTTTTCCATGTCGTCTATTTGAACTTTCAACTCTTTTATAGTTCTTTGTTTAGGTTCAATCTATACATAATATTAAATGTGTATTATCAATAAGTACATTACTTATGTTTTGCAGCTCTTTACATCATTGTCATCATTTAAGTAATAGACATAAAAAGGATTTTTGTAGATATTGATATCCTCAATAAAACTGTAATACATGACTTAATTTCAGCAGCGTACGCGATATTGATTTTTTTTCACATATTAGGTTATATTATTTACGAGCTTTTGCCCGCGGTTTCGCTCGCATTAATTTACCCCTTAGGGGTGGAATTTATCAAAATCCTTTCTTAGTGGATGCCTACATCATAACATCTACCTGCATGCCAAATTTCAGCCCGATCCGTCCAGTGGTTTGGGCTGTGCCTTGATAGATCACTATGTCAGTCAGTCACCTTTGAGTTATATATATTTAGATAAAGAAGTTATTATACGGATCCTAACTTTGAAAATATGCTAGAGCCATGTAGGGACATACATAAGGTATAATGTACGGTTGTAATTTTTATTTTTTCAAATCGGTACTCTAGTTTTGTTTTTCTTTCATTTGGGATTTTTGTATACAAAATGTGACGATGGCAATCAAGAAATTCAGATGACTTAAATTAGTGTATACCAGAAAAATAACTAGGCCAAATCCGAAGCTGGCGCTGCCAATATTCCACGGAATACACCCATGTCTAACCTATTTAATTTCAAATCTTGGATGATATAATCTATTTTGACGCATGGTGCAGTAGTTTTCGAGCCTACTCAGTGCAAAACAATGACACCTTCCTCTTTATTATATTAGTATAGACTATTTGTATTAGCCAACAACTCTGTTGGCAGTAAAGGTACAAGAATATATTTTTACCTTACAATTTAGATAGACACACCTGATTTTTCAGCTCTGTTATCTTGAAATTCAATACAAATTTATATTTTTCCAATTCTTGTTTCTTTCGTTTTAATTCATATATTCTCTTTTCCTTGTCTTGAATAGTGCCATCTCGCTCTGATATTTCTTTTTTCAAATCAGCCACATCACGTTCCAAAGTTGATATAACTTTTTGAAACTGTTTGTGTTCAGCTAAAAATGTATATTTTATAGTAGATAATATAGAATTGCTTACTTGCATTTCACAGTAATTGACAGGTACACGCCCTGAGTGAAGCGAATACGCGAACAGTTATATAATAAAAACATTGTTAAATATATACATGTCATTATTATTCAATAATAATAAAATAAATAATTTAAATCACCTTTCAATTGGGATACTTGATGTTTGAATTCATCAATTTCCTTATTAGCACTTATTAGTTTTTTCTTCATTAGACCAGTCTCTCCCTTTAACCGTACATTAGCATCTTTTTCTTCTTTCAATTGTACTTCATATGCGGTTCTGATTTCTATTATCTCACGATCCGCATCTTCCTCAATTGATGCCTTTATAGTTTCATGCTCCTTTGTTTCCATATCAGCTTGTTCTTGCAACTGAAGAAGACAGTAAGGAAGTTTAATTAGTATTTTTTACTTATGAAGCTAAGTTTTATGACATGTCTAAATGCTCGTACATTCCTTTTTACTATTATTTTAATGATACAAAATTTTATACTTATGGGCTTTTTTTCGTATATTACGTATCAGTAATAACATTTATTACTTTTAATTTTTAATTACCTACTATCAGGCCAACTCGAAGTTGGGTCGACGATTTGCACCACTTCCTTGATAAGACGTAGCCTAATCAAGCTCAAGATAGAGAAGTTTGCAGGCATCAGGGGAAAGTCTTCCCAACATTGGGGCACTAATTAGGCTCTGTGTCCCACTATTGGGAAAAGACTTTCCACTGATGCCTGCAAACTTCTCTATCTTTTGGACTGGGATATAACTGGGATTTCTTTTTTGACAAATTAATTTAGATATCATAATATTTATATATTGATTTAATTAAAATACTCACCTCTTGTAAAAGAATATCTTTTTCTTCCAATTTAGATTCGAACATGTTATTCATTTCCCTTAGAGCTTGCCGCTTACTTTCGGCAAGTTCCTCGAGACGTTGTTCATAGTCTTTTCTCATTCTAGCCGTTTTATCCTCGAGGCTCTACAATTTAACACAATTATGTACAGAATAATACTAAAGTATCAAGTCTTCAATATTGTACTTAAGCATGTGTGTATCTCTAGTATGTGTTTTTTGCTATGCCTACCTGATATCTGTCGTATTCGCTAATTAGTTTGATATTGAAGTCTGCTTCCAGAGCTTGCAGCGTTCTCTCATGACCCGACCGGAGCTTGGTGATATCTTGCTGAATCATTCCTATTTCATGAGTATGCTCATTTTCCATTTGCTGTAATTTATTATATATTTACGATAACAAAATGCTTTTATTTAATTTACAAATGTTTATTCAGGACAAAGCTAAACAAGATATCCTCAAACGATTGAGCTGAAGTTTTGCATAAATTGAATAGTTTGAATAACATGGCATGGTTAGCTAAATGACATTATTCTAAATGAAAGTGTTTACTGAAAAGAATGGGAACATTAAATTCTACTTTCAGTCCAATGTGGCCGACATTAAATCTTGTTTTTTATAAATTTTACAATCTACCTCATTCTTTTCCTTCAGTTCTTCGATGGCGGCACAGTAGCCTTCGTGAACTTCTTTTAGTTTTTCCGCTTGCGTCGCTTCGGCCTGACGTAACTGATACGTGTGTTCAGTTTCTAACTCGCTCATCCTCGTGCTTAATAACTGAAAAATAATTTAGCTTTTACCTTGTATAGAATATCAAACAACCTAAAAAAATAATCATACAGAAATAAATTTTGCGGTTACATTTGTTACTAATAATATCTTAATGCTACGCCTCAGCGTGGTGTTGAGGCGTAATTGATGATTATAATATTTTTATTATAACCTTCATAGATATTCAACGTGCTATTCTCGGGCTACAAACTGACTTAGCAGATATAATTTTAAGTGCCTAAACGTCTTTTATAGACTTTCTCATAATTAAGAATATACATAGGGAATTCCTTATAAAGAAATATGTAATTCTATATTAAACTGAACTTGTGTTATGGACGGAACGGACGCATAGTATATATATATATAATAAAATAAGTAACGGAAAGATAAATTAAAATATAACAAAAATAAACAGAAAAAAGCTCAAGCCAACATAATCATATATTCAGGAATACAAATGTTTATATTGTTAAGTACAAAGAAACAAATCCGTGACCAAGTAGGCCATAATCCAAAATAAAAATAAAATATCAAAAAAATAATCAAAACGCATGGTAAAACACGTGACCAATTTCTAAGACAACCACTTCAACACAGATGTCGTCAAATGCAATACCTCCCGTACCTCTGGATGCAAGTAGTCTTTATTTAAAACGATCCTCTACCACAGCAACGAATTGCAAGTACTTACGTTTATACTATTTATTTTTTCCTGTAAATCCTTTTTGCTTATCAATATCTCTTTTGAATACGCAAAATCCTTATCAAGTGCGATTGCTCGTCCGTCTGCGTTCGTAAGTCGCCACAAGCAGATAGATGCATCTTGAGCCACGGATACTAACGTTTGGTCATCATATGAAAGTGCAATGCAGGTAACCTTTTTATTGTGCACATGGAACTCATTGAATATTGCCTTGTCTAAGAGTGGTAGCTGGACAGACGTGACGCCTCCTTCACCGCCGGTAATGAATAGCATCATGTCGGACCGTGACAAAACAATGGTATCCAGGGCACAGTTTATTAGTCCTAAATTCCTTCGGAGTGTGTTCGAACCAATTTCTTTAATTTCTCCGTCTGATCCAACGCTGTATGCTGATTTCCCAATACTGAAATATAATATTAAACCGAGACCATTTAAATAGAGGAATCGGCTTAGTTTTGGGTTTAAATTACAACTAGACAGAAAGCTGTTTTAAAATATTTAATTATATTCTACTGTAAAGGGAAATTTGGTCTCATTATTTTATTAGTACACTAATGCGAAGCGGCACGAGTAGCTTGAAAGCTATTAATAATTACATACTCTTATTATAAAAAAACTGACATAGATAAATGGCTAACAAGTTCTGGGTTTATAAAATTGACATAAGATCGTACGTATCTAATAGAGTAACAATAAATTAGTTTAAACCTGTTGACGGCGCAAGCGTTGAACTGATTAGTTTTCAGTATAAATTCGCCCACCCTTTGACCCGTAGACATACTCCACTCGTACACTGCACCCTCCATACCACAAGACACTAGTGTTAGATCATTTGCAGACCAGGCTAGACATGTTATCTGAAGAATAATGAAACAATATAATATAACCATATCTACTAAATACATTCTTACCATCGATTGCCGTTTTGAAACTAAAACAATAGATAAAAAGAAAGTAAAATTTGGATTGCCGTGATTATATTTGCAACAATAGGTGTAGGTATGCCACCGCATTATGTTTCGATAACTAAAATTTAGATAAATTTTCATCATAAATTATGATTTTCGATTAGTAGTAAATGGCAACTGTTGCCAAAGGCACCACAGATTCATGTTATTTTGTCATTGAGATGCGAATGGTACCTACGTAATCCTCAGCTATTTGGCGGCAGAAAAAATGTGAGAGAGGTACCCACATTTACTAAAGAAGATGATTATCGAATATACAACGCAAGATAGAACAATTGTAAAAAATTAAATTGGAATAAGTAGAAACAAAAGGAAACTCGCTTTAAGTTAAAGAGAAACTAGTAGAACATTAATTATTGCATCATTGTATATTTTATTAACAGATAAATCACTCTAATTGATAAGACATCTAATTATCTCTTACGTAATTTATAATAATAAGTAATAGTTTTGTTTTATAATGCACTAGATGCAATAAGTATTTCTAAACGAAGACAAAGTGTTTATGTCAAGGTTTTAAAACTATCTAGAACATGTATTATGTAAACCTACCATATATATAAGTTACATAGATATTTTATACATAGTTACCTACTAAAATAGCTAAAATCTACGTACCCTTCCATTATGACCTTTTAAGTTATAAACATTTTGAAAAGAGATTGAGGAGAACACTTGAATGACTTGGCCGTTGACAGCAGCGAACATCTGTCCGTTTGTACTGAACTTCGCGCGTTTGCAATTTCTAATGGGGAACTCGCGCATCACTTCGAAGTCATCTATCAGTACTACCATGAATCTCAATTTATCGGAAAATCCAACTATTGCAAATAAACCTAAAATATCCATAATTATGATAGGTTGCTCGAAACAATCTATTGATAAATTTAAGAATCTACAAAAAATCAATTCAGTCTAGATAAAATGTAAATACTGTCAATTAAAAAAAATATAATTTATATGGGTCCAATTCAAGAAGGTGTGCTAAAAGATATAGGAGACAAATTAAAAAATATGCTCATTTTTAAAATATTGCAGTAAAATCTAGTTACATTATTTGTCTCGTATTAAATATCGCAATTAAAAATAAACAATATATAGGTACTAAAGGGATTGAGAAAGAGATAAAACAGGTAATTATTAGAATTACCGGATTTATCTCTTTCTCAATCTCTTCTATCAAGATCAACATGAGTACCAACCGGTTGGATGCAAAGAAACACAGTGTATCTCCTCTTGATAAAGTTTAATCATTTCTACATCATCAGTCATGTAATTCCATATTCTAATACTTTTATCTAATTCTCCTGATGTCATAAATATAGGCTTCCATGCGCACATTGAGAGTGAGTTTATAGGACCGTAGTGCATGGCAGGCCCAAGTTCGGCAAAAGCAATTTCTGGATTCTGGAACAAAATTCAATTGCACAAGTGGGTCTAACACACTATATAAACCCTATGCATTAAAAATGTATTGGGGTTTACTCCCTGTAAAACTAAATAGAAACCTTCCTTGAATTCTGTTATTTTGGCGATATTAGATTTTATTCTATGTCTGCCACACCATGGAACCGGCATCCGCACGGTTAATCCATGGAATGCTAAGAAGTTCCTCACAGTGCAGTGGCACACAATTCCACTTATTTTATATGTAGTTACATTTTTTAAATTATTCATCTATATACCGTATAAAATACACTGGAAACTGGTAATACTGTATTTTGAAAAGTATGTTTTATTTTTATTATACATACATATTCATATTATCTATTTGAGGCTCTAGACTTGTTAAATAGATTAATTTAATTTAACAAGCAATATTTTCATAAGCTTTACATGCAAAACAGAATATAATGTAAAATATAATAACTGCAGTATATTAATAAGTAAATAAAGGTGTATATGATTGCACTTAGCCTTAAATGTCATCTTTGTTTAGCTATTAACCATCCAGCAACTTAGCGGGCATTATATAAGTCTACCTGCAACATATGTTGTCCAAATAACTTGGCGTAATATAATTGTTTTCGCAGTGTTGTGATAAGTAACGTTTCTTGATTAGGATCGATTGTAATATGCTGTATGGCGTCTAATGGTGACCATAACGGATGCTCGCGAGTGTGCCTGGATAATATAAAATAATACAATTATTTAAGAAAGGTATATCTGGTAGTCCTTGAAATTAAATTAAAAACAAATCTCACTTGTAAGATTTCTTGGAAATTCTGTAGACATTTCGTTTTCGCCAGTGATGTGGAGTTTCCTTTTCAAACATGTGAACGTAACCCGGACCACAACCAAATGCAAATCCTGCAATTCATACAATGAAAGTATATACATTTATAATATATATAGTTACATAATACATAATTACACGTTAGTTCGATGGTCGCGGGTTCGAATCTTCGCAGGGTACAAACAGCTGTATTCATGAGTATGATTATTTGTGTCGGTCTGAACGTTTTCTATGTATATTATGTATGGGTACAAACAGCTCTATTCATGAGTATGATTATTTGTGTCGGTCTGAACGTTTTCTATGTATATTATGTATGGGTACAAACCGCTCTATTCATGAGTATGATTATTTGTGTCGGTCTGAGCGTTTTCTATGTTTATTATGTATGGGTACAAACCGCTCTATTCATGAGTATGATTATTTGTGTCGGTCTGAGCGTTTTCTATGTATATTATGTATGTGTACAAACAGCTCTATTCATGAGTATGATTATTTGTGTCGGTCTGAACATTTTCTATGTATATTATGTATGGGTACAAACCGCTCTATTCATGAGTATGATTATTTGTGTCGGTTTGAACGTTTTCTATGTATATTATGAATGTATTTACAAAAATGTGTTTATATCAGTTGTCTAGTACCCAAAACCCAAGGTATTCTTAGCTTGGGACTAGATAACGCTGTGGGAATTGTCTTGAGATATTATTATTATTAATATAAAATTTACCTTTAGGAAAGTTCACAAAGCAAGTAACAGGATAGCTTTCTTCTAATACAGTGGGTTCACTTGTAGTGTCTTGTTTACTACTAATGCTCACCTTTTCCCCTTCCTCGGCTCTGTGGATCATAAAACGTACCTACACATAAATAACCATTAAGTACCTCAATGTAAATAGCTTGTCGCTCATACTCGTATTAAAAGCTATTTGTAATATTTATGGCGCCGTAGCTGTAAAAATAATTATAAGACGGATTTAGTTGATACTAGCTGAGGCCGCGACTCTGTACTAGTATAACTTTTTTGTTTGTAAAGCAATTGGAATAAAACACAAAGTTTTAAATGATACGCAGGACATTAATAAAAAACTGCATTCAAATGTATTAGACAATGACTGAGATTAGAGTGTATAAAACACTTTAAGGGATTGATTGTAACAATCATTGATTTGAGTTCTATTACATTGATAGAGTAAACCAAGACAGCAATTAATTGCATTTTTATTATATCTACAGATTTGAGTAAGGATCACGCAATATTATAATTTAGTAGTATATGAAATTATTTTTTGAAATGATTTGATTAATAGTTTTAAAAAGAAAAAAGGAATATAAACGATATTAATTTATATATGTCAGTAAGGATAATTTGTAGACCTAATAGATCTACTACGAAATCGCTGAATTTTAAATGTAAATAACCGTATATACTTATTTAAGTATTATTCTAATCATCCTCTGGTAAGGAAATGTGAAAAGTTATAACATTATATTTATACCACCCAAATATATGTTTATAATTTCCGAATTCAAATAACAATTGTTTTATCTTACTCAGCCTCAACTTTCTTTAGGGACATTTCCATGATCTCTGTAGCTCTAAAAACGCAGTTTTGTCTGAGTTCTCCGTTTTCCACCACCATTATAACACCGTCATTTGTCCCAAACATTATTCGATCTGAAGTTAGCCACATGCAACTAGTTATGTTGATCTAAAGAAGTATGAGACAAACAATATATAATTATTCACATATTAAACTCTATCTACATGGTAAAGGAGCAAGCCAAGGCTAAACTTGAAAACTAGTCTTACAATTGACTTTAAAGACATTCCCATTTCGAATATTACAAATATATATAAATACGTTTTAGGATTACCTAAATGATGTCAACATGAATGATCCTTCAATTGTGACAACCAAACATTTTTTTTAATATTTGGATTGATGTCCGTTAATTTTAACCAACTACATTAACTTTGTGTAATCGTATTAACTTTACATAATAATCTACCAAATATAATGAATCTAAACTATTCTGTATAATACACTCACAATGCAATGTTACGTACATTTTCAGCTTTACACCACCCCCACTGTCGCCAAACTGTTTCAGCGACATTCATAATACGAAATGTGAACGGACCGGTAATTACTACAAGTGTTGCATCTGTGGGATTGCATTGTATCTGAAAGAAAACGTGTAGGTTCTTAGTTGCTTTAATGCAGTTATTCAATTTGCATTGTCCCGTGAGGTCTCTAATCGAACGAATACCTAGATATAAGAAATTAGTAGTATTATCTGATGTTGAACCTTTTCTAATATAAATATAGACACATAACAGATAAGATCGCCTCTATATCAAACCAGGAAGAGTAGTAATAATATACATATTATAGCAGTACATCTTAGAGGCCTTAGAAAAACATTATTCCGTAAACGTGACATTCCGTCCATTCATTTACGTGCAGTATTGAATTTAATTATAGTAATTAGAAAAATAAATAATAGGTAAACCATTATGAACAAATTTTGCAGCTGCTGCATTTCTTTTCTTTACTATTATACATTTGTTATGTAACTAAGAACACGAAATATGAAACTACCACTGATTAAAAGCGATTTTTTGTGACGTCCAATAAATAAATATGGATTACAAGACTGATGACGAAGACTGTCATTCACATCAATGACGGAGATGTTCTTGACACATCTGGCTTCTAATTTATAATTGCTTCCTTAGAATTTTAATGTATGCTTAAAATAGTTAATATACATCCATCACACGTCATTCAAGAAAGGATTTTTTACATTGCATTATGCAACGTCTGTTGCTCACAGAAAAATATTACTTTATTTGATACGCTTAAAATCTGCATATAAGAAAGTTTCTGTTTATAAGCGTACATAGCAAAATAACTGCCTTTTACTAGGCGTTATTATCTTGTTTAAACAGACTCAGTTAAGGAATCTAAAAACCTAAATATATATCAGGAACATAATTTATCCAAATTGGTACATACATAAATAGGTATTCATTTGTTAGGTACTCACACTTTCAACAATTCCTTGGCCACTAGGATTCTGAGCTTTGGCATGACTTTCAACCTTCCCTTTGTCCCAATTATAATAATACAAGTACCAGTCCGGTTCACCTGTGATTGCTACAAGATACTTAGAATCGAAAGTGAATTGAACACATGCAAATTCTTTTGCCGTAGAGTTTTCAAATGGTACAGTCAGAATTTTACGCCTCTTGTAAGTCGTAAGATCGTAAATAGTTATTATTGGCTTTTGCCCTTCTTCTGCTATTTCATTAAGAGCTAACCATCGCCTGAAATAAAAAGAATATAATAAGTAGTGTTTGAGATGCGGTGGGGTAAAAATTGTTCCACATACATTGACAGTCTAGTCCATATACATATTCGACAGTTAAATTCCATATTAGCTGCAATAATGAAGATAATATTATTAAGTATCTACTGTTAGTAATTAATGGGCTGATGAGATTTAATGGAAAACCTTGTCGTATAAAGTTGATAAAACATGCCTTATTTACAATACAAAAGTGAACAAATACAGTATATATACAGGGTAGAACAAATACAGTATATATATACACTATAGGTAGTATACAGTGGGAAGTCTAGACTAACATATTATGTAACAAATAATTCTTGACACCCGCATTGTTTAGCACACCACTTACTCTGGTCACGGGTTCGATTCCGCGCATGGTACAAATATTTGTATTCATAGGTTATGTTATCTGTTTACAGAAAAAAGAAAATATATATGTAGGTAATTTTTTAAGTTATCTAGTACCCATATGATAGCTCTGCTTACTTTTGGACTAGATCACGTTGTGTGAATTGGAAAAAGTGAAGAAGGGAGTCAAAAACTGGCGTCTGCACCATTCTTAGGAGGAGCTAAGAAATGAAGAAAGAAGCATAAACTCTATGTAATTATCTACTTAGGAATAAAGGCAGAAGGGTTCTTTTAATCGAGTTCTGGCTTAAATGTTGGGAAAGGTCGAATCAATGACTAAATAATTATTACCTGTTAGGTGCCAAAATTAAAGATTTTATAGGCTTATGTTTATCTTGCAGTCTGATGAACTTTTGCTTCTTTTGTAGATGATTATGAATTACAATAACTCCACCGGCTGGATAAATAATTTCAGATTCCGTCAAATAATGAGCATTGTATCTAAAAAATTGTGATGCGGAATATATATATGTTCAATATATATGTAAGTTCATTTATTACGACGTATGTATTGTAGTCTTCAGGTTGGTAAGTTTTATACATATAAACGCAACTATAATGGCTTAGAAAGAAACCACCGATTATTTAATAAAATAAGTGTCTGTGATGCTTTTTTTTATGTAATTGGAATGCAAACACAGTGTTAATTTGTGAGGGATCGACCGTCAGTGATGTGACATATTGTTTAAGGACATAAATAAAGTAGATATACAACAATTGAGCATTTTTCGCAAAAATGGCAACACAAAAAAATGAGAGATACCAGAAACCTAATAATCCATTTTACGGTGACTATGATGATGCTTAGATATACGAGCATGTATCTATGTATAACTGACAGTTATAGAAACACATATATTATATATATTCGATACACACACATTCGTTTACAAATGTACATTTGGTGTAGTAGGTTAAATTTTCAAGTTACGCCCATTGCTGCTTATTTCAACATTCCGTTTAAATTGACACAATCATGTAATTTTTAAAACTACGTCAAATAATGGTTCTCACCATTAACTGTTTACGTTTAACTGCTTCTTACCTGTACCTACTTCTACTAAGCCTTTAAGCCTAGAGTTCAAAACAATCGTCATGAAATGATTGATGAATACCTACACACTAAGGATACATAACTCCTCTTTGACATAGAGGAAAAAGGCTGTAGTTTTGATCACGTGGACTCAAACGGGGACACAGATTGTAACAAATATTATCTGTATCTGTTTATTATATGCATATGACATTCAAGAAATTAATTATACCTACCTAGTTATCAGTCGTTAATTAAATTTATTATTATAATAATATTAAATGTGTAGGTAAAATACTTACTGAATGTCAGTCCGAAGGCCATAAAATATTCGTGCGGAGATATTTGGTGATGATGTTGCCATGATATTATCAAAAACTGTCGCAATAAAACAAGTATGTAAACATTACCTGTATGCAATAACTAATTGATATATTTAGTATGTAATGTAATCAAAAAAGTTGTGACGTTGCTATGGTAGCCCAGTGTTATTTTCAATCGAATGTCAAACAATGACGTAGTTTAGCAACCAGTAATCTAATCTGGACACAAAATATCGATCCTTTTTTATTCCTCACTTATAAATAATATTTAATATATATATAAATATACGTATAATTAGTAAAAATCACGGGATCTTACCACGTTTTATATTTATTTGTTGAGTTCCCGATATTTCGGCAGTGTTTCAACCACCATGATCACGGGTAAACTGAAGAGCAGCGGGTAGATGGAAAATGAAATCTTTTATGGGCAGACATATGCGTCTACCTTCACATGTCTTCGTTTGTTGCTACTACTGGAACTCGCTCGATATTCACCTCAGCAAACTTTACTAATTATACGTATAAATAATGACCGCGTCAAATTTAAAACAGTATATATATACATATCAGAATCTAAAATTCTCAAACGCACTATGAAATGATTCATATAAACGCAAAATTTCAATTTAAAACTGTTTAGTGTCAAAAATATTACAACTACATACAATCAACGTTACATAATCAAGACCCAAATAAAGTGAAGCTAATCTCAATATCGACTTTAATTCAATTCAGATTTGTACCGTTACTTTTGAAACGCATAGAATAGAAAACCGAACGAATCGATTACAATATCGGTTAGATCATTCGACGGCTACGAAATAGAGAACTTATTACTTATTATTAGTAATAATTTTAATAAACCTGGACAATACATACAGAACTATATGCTCTATCGAGCATGTGTTATGGGTACTGAACAACTAATAGAAATATATTGTTTTTATTTAAATAGGTACACAGATCAATACAAACAATGAATATTTGTATCGTGGGAGAAATCGAACCCGAGATCATCGGAAATAAGGCGATATTTATGTTAAATCGCTAGACCACTAAGGCCGTCAGTGTATAGTTGCAATTCAAGTGCACGAAATATCTGTAGTGCTTTCCAATGACTATCGATCTGAATTGGTTTCAAAAGTGGATCGGCAGAGCAGAGTAACGAACCTGTAAAGCTGGAATTTCTCATAGTTCCTACAAATATCTAAGCAATTTTGTACATTTTAGCGGCTGCAGTTCTATTCTGTGTTACCATATATCTCAAATCTATTATACTAACCTATTAATAAACCTAAAAATGACACTTTTATGAGCCACATTTTACTTGATTGTTGTTCAATGTCGTTGGTAGTATCCGCCTTGCAATTTCCGAGATAACTCGTAGCTTCCTACTACGATGCCAGTAAATGACTAGCTGCATGATAGCCGTGACTGTCATAGTAATATGAATGGTATGTTATTTACCTAAAATGAAAATGACCTTTTCAGTTTATTAATAGGGTTTCATTAAAAATATACCAAATTATACCTAGGTATATATATTATTTATTTTTACATACATACCTATATCTAGATGTATTAGATACATAATTTGTATGTGAATTCTGAACTGATTTTTTTTTCATTTAGGATTCTTTAATTAATCGATATTGTTAGATACCGTTTTAATATCGTATCTACCACATAGGCTCAAGTTAGGATGACAAGTACAGTCTTATTGTGTATATTCCTTATTTCTTATTTATTACTTATTTCTCGCGAAGGTGGTAAGTAATGACATGAAGAGATTCGTACTAACAAATTAATTATTACGCAGTTTAGATATAATGATGATGTTCTAGTGAAATCTAGAATACTTGATTTGACCCAGTTCTCTAAATGCTAATTCCTTGGTCTAGTTTTACGCCTTAATTTATTTGTACAGTTTGAAGATAGGTAACCACCTACTTTCTCATTAGTTCACGGTTTTTATAAAGTAATACCTACCACTGATGACTATTTGAGCAGGTACAATTAAGTTAAGGTTTAAATTAATATGGTAAGTTAATGTGGGTGCACCGTTTGCATGACCATGTATCCACTTTTATTCTTATAATAAACTGCGCAGAACATACAACTCGACACTCAATTTTGTTATGTTGACTCACTAAATCAACAAATCGAGTGATTTACAATAGTTATTTATTAACTAGCTGTGGTGCTCGCGGCTTCATACGAGTATAATAAACATAATTAAAAACGAAATTTTGAATAATCGACTTACTGTTTCCATTAATTTTTAAATTAAACAGGAAACTGTAACATGTTTATATATCTGACCATGGGCTTATTGCCTCCCTACTTAGCACTAATGTAACATTGTTGATTATGACAGCGATTTCTCATAGACGTGTAATTACAAATATGTATTAAAAAAATATCAAGCCCTATATTCTTTATACCTGATTATTACTAGCTGCATGCTTGGAGATGACTGATAACAATGACTTCTCTATCGGTGGTTACAAATTTGTACCAACACGCTAATGTAGCAATGACCAGAAGTCACTGACCCAGTCAATAAATTGGCGACATTGTAACAAATCGATGGCGCAATGCACTTCCCCTTGCTCCCACTTACGACATTAAAACAATTGAAAAATCACCTATTTCAACCAACCACCAGCTTTCTACGTATTCTGTGTTTGGATTGAAGGATGAAATAAAGGAAAAAAATGACAAACTATAGAGGCATGACATTTAATTTTAATGGGAAGGCAGAAATAGTTGGCAGCCGCCCATGATAACATGAAGTTTTAGGTGTTGTTCAGAGTTATAAAAAAAAGAAAAGAACTGTTGGCCTTATTGTTATCAGGTCTACCTCCAGGGGGTTTCTTTTGGAATTCACATTAATACTTTTTTAATTCGCCACAATGTACTAAATGACCTGATTTCAACCGCAGTCTTTTGTCCTTCACCGGTGCCTCCAGAGCGTAAGGCATTAACACGTCGGTGCCTTTGACCTAACGGTAATTTTATCGATTACTATGGCCAAAGCCAATTTGATGAACTATTCAGCAGGGCCAATCTAAGGAATATAAATAGTTTAAATGAGGAGAAGGGAATTGTTAGTAATGTTGACTGTTGAGCCCATTGCTAGCAATCTACCATGCAGGTTGATCTCCATTCGATTCTCCTTAGAAACCATCATAAAAAATTCCTGATAAATTTGTCACGAGGGGCAAACTGACCTAATCTCATGTTCATCATATCAACCTCCACCGGTGCCCCGCCAGCGTAAACCGTGAGCCCAGTCGGGTGCACCATTCCAATATCATCTATTAAAACTAAATTGTTTAATTGGGGCAGTGATGAATTTTGATACCGCACATTAATTGCAAGTATGGTAATTTTTCTGCTGTAAGCTGATATGGATATTGAAGCTCGATAATGTTAATCCATCGAGCTATTCACTAACAACGAAAAAATAATATAAATCACATAAATGTCTCTTTCACGCACCTATAAGAATACCAATCTGAAGAACAAAAGCAGAATATAAATAGTAAGTTTAAGTTTATTATTTGCGACATCATCCCACCACAGGCACCCTTCCAAGTCGCTGGCATTTGGCTGGACTAAAAAAGGCTAAAATTTAAAATTAATTAATGGTGAAATATCTGTCTTACCCATTCCTTCGCACTGAGATGATTTTGTCGATCTCGTTCATTAGAGCAGCTTTTTTCTATATATTCTAATAATTTTTTACCTTTACTAATTTATCGACGTAATGCGTCTTTTTTATTTGCATGACTGTATATCCAATACATAATAATCTGGGCGTTTTACAATATATAGATATATTTACTTATTTCTATCAGTTGTCTAGTATACGTATAACAAAAGTCACATCAAATCAAAATATCTTAATTGAATTTGGTTAATTACAAACTTTTATATGTCATATCTACTAAACATAACAATCTTTGATTTGTTTGGGAAAGGCTGTACTGAATTGTCCTGGATTATTCTGGTACGCTATATTATGGTTGAACAATAGGATATGGCAGTGAAATTACAGGGCACGGTGGTATAACACCTTAGTCTTTCGGAATGCCAATAGATGAGTATTATGATGATATCGATAGATCGTGTCATTGTGTGGTATCACATAATGACGCGATGTCCTTGTCACTATTTAAACATACATAGGTGACGGTAGCTACTTACCACCGATTGGACTGTCAGCTAATTTGTCATCCCAATTAAACAAAAAAGACTTACAAATTATTGTAACAACATGTTTTCAATATATTTATTGATAAACTATTTTAAAAATCTTTCATCTTTGCCATCAATGATGCGGTTGTGTATTATATGTATATTTGTAATGTAATATTTCTTAAAATTGTTTTGATATTATTTCATTTAAAAAATAGACCATAATATGAAAGAGGACATTGACTCCTGAAACAATGGTACATACTTCCTCAAAAAGATATAGATACTTGTATAAAAGATGTGTAAAATCAAAATTCATCCGTCATCATCCAAATTTCACAGCTGCGCGGCGTCATGTAGCTAATAAATAATAAAAATGTTTTAGAATCAAGCATACACCTATTGAAAGCTTCAATTGAGAAAATCAATAAAAAGAAAAGATTGCCAGTCAGTGGATGTAGCGTGGTATGATGGTGGATCGATGAATAAAACACAGAGTCTTATTTTAGGCTACGGGGTGTGGTAAAGGTCTCACAAGTCGCGTGTGTCACGCTATCATCGACCACAATATACCAATATATACGAAATCATAAAAAAATTAAGTGTACATATGCTTATTCCCCAAAAATCAAAATTATATATTTACTTCTCTCTCTCTAATTCAATACATTTATGTATCATAAATAATATAAAATTATGAAATCTAGACAAGGATAGTTTGATGATTATTATTGTGCAATAATAGGAACATTATTATTATTGCACAATGACAGCACAAATGATGATGGATCAAACGGGGATTGAAATTAAAACGGCCTGAGCCGAGATTCGAACCCCTAACGGTGCACTCAGACTAAAGTCGTAACCGTCATGCTGGAGTTGGTCTTCAGCCGCTCCATAAGTCCTTCCGCGAGTTTGGACTGCCATCTGCACTCACCCCTATCGTCCGGTGAAGCTGTAAGGCCAGCTGCGGACAACAGCATTAGAGTAGTCCGAAAAAAAAGCTCAATGTACAACCACAGCTTGCTCCTTGTAGGGTGAACCGTACTTACTTCAATACTCCTGTACATTAACTTAGTTAATTTTTTAATAAGTTACCCAGATATTATATATCAAACACTGAACTTGAGCGCAAAATCACATACAGCTAGACACATTTTTTTTATTTATATCCTTTAACATTACAATACCATAACAGACAATCCAAATATGTGTTGCAACTTACTACAAATTAGTAAAAAATAGAATGGAATAAGAATAGTATCCACCTACCCAAAATTCCATTTGACGCAAGACGTGTATCTAAACCACAACGCCGCCATCATCGAAGGTCAGGTCAGGGTATTATCTAAATTTTTTTACAAGTTGTTCCACCTATAATTTCATATTTAGATAGGTACATAGATTTCATAATTGATGAAGTTGACACTACGCTTCTAATGTACTTCAAGGCGCTATTCTATTATATTTTCCAAAGTTTACACGACCTTCGCCTTTCTGCGTGTTACGTAGACCGACACAGGCATGGCGTCATCACCAGACTTTAGCAAATACATAAACTACAGAATTTATGTCTACCCATCTATGAAACCTTATCCACATTTGGTAAGTTGTAAGTCGCATCCATTCAATGTCAGTAAATCTTATTAGAACTAATTGAAGTGACTAATGACGCATTGTAATTAAACATAAATACCGTGTATTGATTAAGTATCTTCTTTAAGTAATTTACACGTTAATGGGAAAAAATTTCAAGTATATCTTTACTTTGGCATGGATATCGTACTTTGCTTTCAGAAACTTTCGTCGGGTAACAGTGCATTGTTTATTCTAGCACTAAATTTACAATGCAGTAATATTCTCTGTTACGTCTATGACGTGGTCAGTTGGAGACGCGGCAGTATCTGACATAGTGGTGGTGGTAGCTAGCGCTAGCGGCAATGTGTTCGATAATTCTGTACATTAGTTTGCTTCAACTCGCGACGCCGAGCGCCGCGACGCTGTATATACAATCATTTGCTTTCATACTCACGAAAACAAACACTGTTATTATCTAACTTGATAAAAGCATTACAACACGTTATCAGCGACGATATCAAACCTGCTAGTGAACCAACCAACGATATCATACCAACCTACTGATAAATTGCAAAGTGCTTCGTTGTGTATTATGTAAAAATCTGTATAGTGACCCTCTGGAGACAATTATGGCTACCACTGCAGGTGCTCGCAAGACGATCTCTATCTACAACTACCCTGACCATCTAAACCCCTTTCGGGAGGAGGACAACCATAATAAGATCAGATTTTGGACTATAAACAGAAAACTCACCAGATCGAACAGCATCAGTTTTTCTGGATTTAAGGACATCAGAAACTCATGGTAAGTATCTACTTATATGCATACCCTGAAAATATCCATATGTCCGTAACTGAAATTATTCATTAAAATTCCACAGCGAGTGCCTGAAACTAGACTGATGTTTAAACAAATTTATATATAATATGTAACTTCTTGCTCAGCACTAATCTCAAGAGTGTAATATTCGCCCACTATTACCTATAGTTGTAGAGTTTTATTTTATGTTCTCCTTCTATTACAATGTAAAATTATTCATTGATCCCCAATTGCCTCTTAGACATCATAAGAGAAAAAAAAGTATAGGCACATTGTATTCTTGCGGAGTCCGTCGCCTCATACGGAAATTGCAATGAAGTTGTCGACAATTGTAGTTAAGCATAGGTGTTTATTTAAGATTTAAACTCGTGTCATGACTATAACCGCACCTGTGTTATACGTCATAATTTCAGACTAAAATTATTCAAAAACAGACGCTAATTGTCATTGAATGACTCTTTGGAATACCTAAAATAAGTGTCGTAACAATCACTATATGATTACAAGAGTTCTTTTAGTTTACATTACACTATAGTTGTCTGCCCTGGCTTTACCATGTAAAGCCAGGACGTTCTTTCATCAATCTGGAAAATTAAATTAATGACATAATTCTCTTACAGTACGACAGCAATTGTTATATGGATATTTTAACCAAAGTTACTCACCTTTCAATACGATATCTGATAAATACCTTGCCTTGACAATTATAAACATATGAAAATAACTGGGTCTGTTTGTAGGTGCGAGTAACCATTATAACAATATTCCCTGTTTGATTTTAGAGTTTTTTTACACCTATGTATGTAGAACTAATAAACAAATAATATTACATATAGATTGCAATTCATTTAAATGGAAGGATAGCGGTCTAATCTGTTTGTGACGTTTTTCTTTTAACCATTTTAATAAAAAACAACAACATTGACCTGGTTGATGGATGTATGTCAATCAACGAAGTCAACAGTAATGTTCATGACGTTCTATGCCTCCAAAAATATCATATAAAGACAATAAACATGTTTAAAATATTTGTTAGGATCGATCATAACGAGAGTCTAACTCGAGTATTTCTCTACAGCTACGAGTTTCTCAGCTTTTTTTATTTATATACTATTAAGTAGCATGTATCCCCATGTACCGCCATTATATCCGTCATACTCGTGAACGGGTGCTGCTTATGGGGACGGGTCACTGGTCGGTTACGAACACTGATTACACTATTTGCTCGTAAACATGTACAACATTTATTTGAAAAGAATACGAGCTGAGTTTCTTGTCAGTTCTTCTCATCTCGAAATCACTCCGAACTGACTGTAGATTTGTCAAATCTCATAAGAGTCTGTAATAGACATACATAAATAAAGATATTTTTATTTTAAATTTATAGTAAATAGTCATTAAAGGCGTTAGTTACAGTATCTCAGGTATGTTATCGCCATGTACAAAAATTATCCTGCATATCCAGAATCTGATTGTTATAAACTTACCTAGTTACCTAACTAGGGAATTACGTTGCATAATAAAATACATGTATAACAATACTTATTTTTATTCGAAAACACAATTGACATGTATCTTCTAATCAGTCATATAAGGATACTAGCAGTACCTACAACAGTTACTAAGTGAGTTAATGTGAACACGATTTGGCACCCCATCAAACAGTGTTTTGCATTTGTAGGTACAACATACTTTTAGATTCAGTGTATAAAAAAAATTAAAGATGTTTACGTATAAAATTAATTTATAATATCAGCACAAAAATATATAATATAATAATGATTCATTACACTAACGCGAAATACAAATGCCCAAGTAAAGTAATAAAGGTAACTACAATACAAATTATTTCTTTACTAGCTGGATTAAATCAGTTTCATACAATTATGTCAAATAAATAATTCGAAGATATCTGATTTGTTTTCTGGGTTTTGTGATTCTGATCTGAACCCATCTTTGTGTAAAGTCGATGAAATTTATAATGCTGATAGTCTATAAAGCTGAAAATAATTTAGTGTTGCTGAAATATTGTATTCTGATTTGTGTATTAATTTCCAATTTGGAGCTATGAATAGAACAGTTATTTTTTTGGAAAATAACCAATTGAAACCGATATAATGTAATCTGATAAGTCTAAAGTTATCAAATTACCTACCTACCTAAACTGCCTAGAGATGTACCTATGTATTTATATCAAATTAGATGACTTGCGCAGCTTAGTCTACGTTTGCGTTTGCATTTTACCTGTTTTTGCAACATTTTTAATTGCATTTCCACTCCTATTTATCGTAGCGTTATATATGTAGCTAATAAAACTCATAAATAGCGTAGCTTTCTATTTGCAAAAGAATTTAAATCGGTTCAGTAGACTAACCTACAAACTCATAACTTTGTCTCTTTTAGAATAGATAAATTAATTTAATATTGACACGACGATTTTATAAAATAACAGAATCACTTTCTTTTATAAACCTTGTATCTGTATAAATTGTCTATATACTTTTCGGCAGGAATAAAAGAAGCCTTTGAATTGATTTCTCATAAGTGTTGTACGGTATAAGAGGATGTAGTATTAGGTTCATAAAAATATACCTACTGAAGATAATAATCAATTTTGTGGTTGATATTTTTTATCTATAACCAGCAATATTAAACATGGACTTAAATTTCTGTATATAAATATCCTTTTTATCAGTATCTAATATTCAATAATAGAATGTTTATTTGTAGTTATACGCTGTCATAAGGACATGCCAGACATAACATGCGTCATGTGTTGTTTTAAAACTCGTACGTGATTGATATTTTATTAGTAATAATACGTGTTTAAAATTACACACAAAATACCATACTCTTAACAGAATGGCTGATTCCAAAACAGAAATAGCTACGTAGGTACTCGTAGTTATATACGGTACAGTTAATTCGGTCGGCTCTAAAACTTTATATCTATTTCTTATCGCCTAATTATTGGTTTAAACCTTGGCAATTACGCTATTGCCTAAGACAGATTACACACAATGCTAAAATCGGAAGCAATATCGGACCTAAGATAGTTATCCTGTGTAGGATATTGTTTCTGAGCACACACAAAACGATTTAGGATGCTTAATAGCGAAATAGAGAAATTAAAACCGATTTCTCATGGTATTTCCAACATGCCGATTTTTGTTTGTTTGCATGTACAAGAAAAATAATCGTATGACTGTATAGGCTAGAATTGTCGCGTATATAAATAGTAAACGACCTTCACACTAAAATCAGGGGCAATGATGCCCCTATAAAGGCCGTATATGCCAAAGAAGCGATAACTCTAGTCTAAACAATTAATCAATTAGTGTACGATACACGTCCGAAACAAAATAAGTACTTACATTAAATAACGTAAGAACGTTATTTATATTACCTAATTCACAAAGATACTACAGATTCTATAAAGTACTATATATTAACAACAGCTAGAGAATGGTTACTGAACACCTTATATTTTTATATATATAGCATACTGTATTACAACAAGTTGCGCTTATAAAGTGACAAACACATAGGTAAACAGGTCTAGGTAATGACAATCGTTATCATTTAATTTTATTTAAGTATATCTATTGTAACCGTACATTGAAACTCGATGTATTACGGTTGCGAGTCTGTTACGGTAACCCACTTAATAGTTCAGCACACTTGCCGGTGATTTCATACTTTTACCACCTATTAAATCTAAGGCAATTAATACCTGATAACTAATTAATGAGCCTGTTTTACTTTAAAAGTAATTGATCTAAAAATTCTGCTAATTTTTTTTAGAATTGTTTGAAGTTAGCATTTACATATAGGTACCTACAAAATTTTAGAGAAGTACCTATTACTAGCTAGCTAGTTTTGGATGAGAAGAATAAAACGTACTCTGTTGCGTTTAACGTCAGGATATTTGTATAGTGTCTATAATGTTAACCAAAACTTTGTACTTGTACAAAGTCATCTGTATGAGTACTTGAGTCTCACTTATTTCACACGCCAAGCTGTGCTTCCGTTGAAGGTTGAGATAAGGTAGTAGAAATACACAATATGTACTAATGACAACTTAGTCCTCTGGAACGGCAAGGCATGACTACACCACGGGTATTAAATGATGCCCGTGGTGCTTTTCATGTACATAGGCAACGGTTACTACGCTTACTGTCATATAAACCATTAGCTTTTTTAACATGGTCTATAAATAAAAAACAATATTTACCTATAAGTTACATAAAAATTGTAGATGCTTTTGATTTAAAAATCTAAATGTTGACAACAACATCGATCCAAATGTTAACAATCAAATTGATGTAGTAAATATTGCAGTATTTTAAAAATACTCCAATTCTCCCCGATCTTGTGTTATAGAGGAAACCCAATATGAGCCCAAATTTTAGAGTCTGAGAACATTAAAAGTACAAACGTAGTTAGTCTCTTCAATCGAAGATGAACGTTTGCTTTTGCTGGGACTATAAAAAGGAGCAGTATGAAATACTGGTAGTTATCTTCGATATCAAGTCTCAGTTTTATAAATATGTATATGTTTTAGTTTTCGTTTAATACACCTAACTAATGGTACTATATATCATACATACTTATGATAATATTTACCTACTGATAAACCAACAGCATACAATCAACGCAATAATATGTATGTACTTCTTTCAATTATCTTTAATACAAGAAATCGCAGTTGCCAATAGACAATTATATACTGCTCTTGATTATTTAATAACTACAAGTGCTATACTAGATCGTTCAGCTCATCAGATCAGTATTTTTTTGTATCAATCCGACATTCTAGAAAGGAAATTAATAGAAAAAGCAGCTCTAGCAAAAGGAACTAATTTTTTAAAGTATGGCATTAGATAGATAGGATAGATAATTAACATTACTAACCAATAACATATATTCACTCACTCTATATATTAGTGAAGCACACCTAGGGTAGGTGTAATCTAGTAAAACTA